TGTGGAATATAAAAACTTACCTGTACTCAATACTGAGATAAAGAAAAAGTTTGTGTTTCCTAAAAACATAATTAATAACTTTTATTTAGGAGCAATGTAACCTGTTGCATTTTCATGTGTAACAATATGGACAGAAAACAGGAAAATACGGGGTAGAAGAGGGCGGTTCCCTGGCAAAGGCCCTACTCTCAAGCTTAGAAACCCACGGCCCTAACTGGGAACAGACATTCCTGTTTTCACACCCAAAAAGTTGCCTTTTGGCTCACCATACCCCCCTATCCTGTACCCATATAAACCTCAGGCCCCAGGCTCCAGCAGCAGATAAGCAGAAAAACAAAAATGCTAGAACGGCGCAGTAGAGAAGGAGAGAAGAGAAGGTGTGTCTGAATGTTGAGTTTGGCTGGAGGTGATGGGAGAGATCAGCTCGTGGATGGCTAAACTCCAGGGGAAGATCATCTTCCCACTCCATCCCCCTTCCAGTTTCCCACCCAGGCCACTGAAAGCCACATCCACCACTCAATAAAACCCCCACATTCACCCTTCAAGTGCATGTGTGACCTGATTCTTTCTGGACTCCAAACAAGAGCTTGTGTGGCAAGGGGGCACTGAGAGGCTAGCACTTAAGCCATCCTCGGACAGCAGAGCTAAAAGAGCACCATAACATTGGGACTTCAGGAGTCACAGGCACCCACCCCTAGATGCTGCCATGGGGCTGCAGCCCAAAAGTTCTCACCCCACTTCCTGCACCTGCCCATGTGTGTGCTCCCTGCCCAATAAGGGTTTTGAGCTTGCAGTGGCCTGAATACAGAGTCACACCCCTGTTGCATGTCCTGTGAGGGATGTCAGGGAACATTGTTGTTTCAATAAGGTTTGTTCAAAACCTATAGCATTCCTTAGAGTTTTTAAATTATCTTAACACTTCTTTGGCCCTTCTTGCCCTGTTTCTAAAGGTGTGTCCTGTGTCCCATGTTTGTCTTTTATTGTAAATCACACCAAATCCTTTTTGGATACAGACACTGTCTGAGTAATAAATGAATGCAAAGGTATGTATTAACTTTTACATATCTATATTGTACTTTGTATTCTTTGTCTTAATCTACATTTAATCTTTTATTGTACAAAAGTAATTAATGATTCCAAAATTTAAAGATGTTTATTTTTTTAGAACCTTTTCTAATGAAGATTAAGCACGTAAAATTTCCTATACAAAAATAAAACCACAGCCATGCCTACCTGCTGCAAGCTATGTTTTCACTTGACTCCACAGGTTAATACTTTTGATTTTAAAATGACTTACCTTCCTTGTAGTGCTATGAGAGACTTGCATTAGCTATTTATGTATTTATTAACTATTATAAAAGCTTGGAACAGAATGTCACTTATCAAGTAGCTAAACTTGGCAAGAGACTTTAAATTCTAGAAAGACTGCCTTCTAATGGAGGACAGAAGTTGGCTGAGGAATAGTGTTTGTGTAACAAAAGGGAGTTCCAATTTCAAAAAAGGAAAAAAACATTTTGAAGTTATAGGAAAAAAAAGCAAGGTTGTATATAAAAAGGTACACGTTTAGGAACTACACCAATATTTGATTAATAGATGATAGGAAGGTTAAAGTTTTTAACATGACATGCTCCAAATCTTTAAAATACTGTGAACAAATAGATGAAATAAAAGAAACTTTCACACAAGTTGGAAATGCTTTCTTTGGTAGTTGTGGACTAGATTTTTAAGTAAATTCCAACATAGTACCCTGCAAAGCAAACACAAAGAAGAGAATAAAAGCAACTCTCTCTCTCTCTCTCTCTCTCTCTCTCTCACACACACACACACACACACACACACACACACACAAAATGTGACTGTGACTTTGTGGCCTAGATTTCAAGGAAAAATACCAGAAATTCATTAAGATGTTGCTATAGTCAAAAAATAGCAGAGGAATCTCTGCACTATCCATGTTTCACCAATTGGCCATGTGAGGGAGAGCTCCCATATACACTGATACATTATCTTTGTCCTTGTAATTGATGCCCAATAGTTTTCAACCCATCAAATGCAGTCATGATGGAAGGGACATTTATTTATCTCCATGTAAGATGATCATCACTTAGAATCCCTAGCTGATCTCAAATTTCCTAACAGCTTAAATCACAATAGTGAAAAAACAAAACAAAAACAAAAACATAGCACTACTAATTAATTTCCCAACTGCCAAAAGAAGATAGCATCTCACATACCTGAGAGCACTTGTGAGTGCCTGCGCCCGCTTAGTGCGTTTAGATACTCTTTCCAAGTACCAGAGAAGACAGGTCATTATGCCTAGATTTTTACTAGCTGACTAGGTCCCTTTTTCCTGGAATGGGTAGGGTTGACACTATCCAGAGATTCTGAGGGGGCAAGAAAGGAAGATGTATTTAAATTTCTCATAAAATAATGTTCTAGAACTTTAATGCGACTCATTATAGCCTTCACAGAGTCTGCATTTCCTAATGAAAAGCATTACAGGAGGTGTTTTTTCTTACATTAACATTGGTTTCACAATAAATTCTTCAAAGCATGAAACAATAATTTAAAGCAACTACGTCATGGCAGAGTCCTAATCCTGTATTCGAAGTCTGTATAGGTCTCTAAAATTCTTATCACCTAAAAACCTCCAAAGGACATAGTGAAACTAGGTCTCTGAGCTTCCAGATGCATTTAAAGGGGAAATAACACCAGACAAAATACAAAGTAAAATAATAAGTAAAACACATTATCATGAATAACTATGTGCTAATAAAGCAGATAACAAGAATACATTTTTGTAAACATATAAAATCCCAAACTGGCACAATAAAAAATAGAATACTTACACAAAAAACCACAACAGAAATAGAAAGTAAAATTATCAGAGAATTACACATTGAAAGTTACTTATGCTGAGTAATTATAAGCAATAAGTTTCTCCCTGTATGTGTGTCAACATGCAAAAATACAGTTCTCTATATGACAAAAGAAAGTTGTAGTACTATTTAACATGATGCTAACATATATATGCATGCTCACATGTTCTTAGAAAGAACAATCTTAAAAATTATATACCATATTGTTAAAAGTGGTTTCTTCCTGGGTACTAATTGGAGCAGGAATTAGTTCAAGTTTATAGACCCTACATTTGTTTTAAATTCTTAATTTTATTAATAAAAAAAGTCTAGATAAAAACAAAACTTGATGAAATATAACGTCAAATTTAAAACAACACTGAAAATAATCAAATGAGTTTAGCCTTTCCAGATCCCAAGGAAAGCTTCTAGAAAGTATAGAAGAAAACTGTCTGGATTCAGAGTCACACGTAGTGAAAAATTCATGCTTTATTATCTAAAACAGGACTGCATAGTCAGCTGGGAAGTGGGCAGGGAAAATATTTTGGCCCTTTTCTGTTACCTCCAAGTAGCTAAGGCACAGGATCTACACCAATTTGAAATCTGGGCAGCCAGTATCCTAACGGGTGAAGATGGCTTTTTTAAGTAGACAGAGTATACTATAGTCAGCTTCTTCTAGTCTATCAACATCCATCTTTCTATAATCATTTGGAAACAATTCCTGACTTAAAGCATGAGCAGGGGTAAAAAGAAATGAGGAATGATATATTGTATGTTGGCATGTATAGTTCCCTCAAATACAGCAGTATAATTGAAGGTCGCCACAGAAAAAGTCTCTAAGTAGTGTGTTTCTCATTGCTACATCTAGATAAAGAATAATGTATTGTCTCATATTTTTCTAAGACATGCATTCTAAGAACAATATAGGGACAGTATGAGTCAATCCAGTAGTGTCTTAAAAAATGGATGCTGCAGAAAGTGGAAATTGAGATTGAGTCTGTACATGAACCTCTTTCTTAAATTTGTGTAATTTAAAATCTGACAGGAAGATTCTATCAGTGTTTACAGAAAGGGGCAGGAATCAAATTAGGGCACAATGAACTACCATTTAGTTGTTGCTCCAGAAATAAAAATTCTCCTAACTCTGGGTTCCTGATTAGCACAGAGTGCATACATCACTCTAGATAAACACTAGGTGTTGATGGAATAATTCTTGCTAAAAACTGAAAAGTTTTTAAAAAAGACAAGGACAAAACCCCACAATAAACCAAAAGAAATCACGATAATGTGGATGTTTATTTAAAAAATAAAATAAAAAGAGACATGGCCTATCATCATGAAGATTCATAGGAAGAGTTTTCCTTTGTTAACGTGGAGATCTTGCAGGCTCACAGTGTGAACCTATGGCACCTTTGGACCTCTACTCTTCTAGACTGAATGCTTTCTGAAGGCAGAAAAAATGTTTATCTCACCTTTGTATCCTGAGCACATCATCAACACAGAAACACACCTGTTCAACTGTAGGGTTTTAAAATATTTTTCCTGAAAATGTTTTGAACCGAGTCTATATTCCTGAAAATAAAATCAGTCTTTCTCATTGTCTCAAATAAGCTGATTAGTCGATGATGGGGGACATTGGTAGTTAGGTATACAGATGTGTTAATATACTCAGGAACTAGAATTTTGAGTTATTATGAGCAAAGAAAATCAGTTATCCAATCCTTTTTTGACAATAAGATGTTAAAAGTATTTTGAAAGTATAGAAAAACACACTGATTCCTCTTATAATCTATTTCCAATGTTATTTCAGATATTTAAGTCAAAGACTCATTGCAGAAAACTGTTAGCTTCTGTTCCAGAATCCCTGAGTGGTTAAGAGTACAGGCTCTGAATAGAGATTATGTGAATTAAGGCACAGACTCTAGCATTTAAAAACTGTGTGAACTTAGCTTATCAATCAAGCCTCAGATTTCTTATCAGAAAAATGGGTTGCTGTGAGGATCAAATACATGTTTAGTGCTTAGCACAGTACCTGGGATGTAGACAGCCCTAAACATCTGCTGTATTGTCACACCTGCTTTGATTCTTTGCCTCATATCATTTTTTGGCTCAACTTAGGGCAAATAAATGAAACAGTTGAAATGTGTGCACTTATTTATTCTTCACTAATATTAAATCAGGTAATTTATTTCTGTCTTTGGCAAATAACAAATACAAATCTATACACGTATTAAATGTTTGTATAAAATTGAATATTCATGATTTTAACTTTGACAAACACTGTCAGGTAAAAATCAAATTATTTTACTAAGTTAACATCTCATTCAATCAGTTGTAAGCTGTAATACTGGCATATTTTACAGGAGACTATTAGAAAAGGATCATATTAAGTCATTAACATTATAAATCTGACCACTTTATTAGGTTGAGGTGAAATAGAGAAATCTCTACTATCCTGGAGAGAAACAAGCAATCAAATCATGTATTACATGTTTAAAGAACTGAATTTATCATAAAATCATCAGTATCAGCACCCTAACAAAGCAACTTTGCCATTTCTACTTAAAGTACACTTTAGCTTGATCAGACAAACACTTATCTCAGCAGTACTTGTTAAAAGCAGGTCTGTTTGTGCAAAAGCAAAACAGAAAGCAAAATAAAATCTACAGCCATTATTTACCTTGCACCCAGTAAAAGCCAAGAGATTTAAAGAAAGGACATTTTCTAATCCCATACCCATGCTAAAATCATCAACATTGCTGATACAAAACTCAGGGCAGGAAAAGAAGCTCAAACCGGGATGGTGAGTGGCAACATTTTATGTATGCTAAATTGGATGGCAATATTAGATTACATCTTCTGCAACTGTGGTGTCAAAAATCTGATAGCAAATTTGATTGTCCGTTCCATTTGTGACATTGTATGACTTGATGAAGCATTCCAACCACGGATATGCATCTACAAAAACAAAAACAAAAAAAGGTATTTAACCATTAAAACAAAATAAATAACTCTGAAATAGGTACCTAAGCTTACCACTGAGCTAGAAAAATTAACATTTATTTTGGCTTGAAAAGTAAGTAAACGTCCCTTCCAAATTTAACATTATTCTCTCTCCAAAATACATACTAGATTCATGTTATTGTTTTGGAGCAATTGTGACTAATCTGAATTTTTTGTCACAAACAGGTAACAGTGATTACACCTTGGGTTTCAAAATGGTTAGTATATATTTTAAAAATCTAAAATAGTGGTTAAAATGGGTCTACCAGGCCCATGCTTTTGGATATAAAGATTTACTTCTAGAAATCTATCCAAAAGAATCCAAACAGCTAACACAAATTAAAACTGACAACAAATAAAGGTATTCAAGTTAAACTTTGTTACAGATCAACAAAAATTTCTATCATTATGTAACTATTATAAGATGCAAAGATTGACCAGGAAGAGTAAAGCCTGATTTAAAATAATGTATAAAAATTAAACCAGCTGCTAAATCTGCAGCTCGTAAAATTTCCCACAATAAAAAACTGTGAGAAAAATCAAATTGTCTTAATATAACTTAGATCTGCAAGTTTCAACATAAGCACAAATATGGTCACAGAAGGAAAATTCAGTAGCAGTAGGTATAAGCAGTACAATTTGAAATGAGGAGGATCTAGTTTATTAATCAAATGTTTATTCAGAAAACAAAGCTCATAAAAAATTGGTAAAACAAAAGCTTGTAAAATGTGAAACTAGTTAACACTAAATAAAAAAATTCATCCCTGAATTAAATTGGATAATTGGAGTTTGTTACAGAAAATGTTTACTGCCAACAATTTATCACTTTTGGTCTAATTTCAACTAAAATGCTTGTAGCATGACAATGTCAAATGTGCTTGTGATCAAAGCTACCCCCCTTTCCTATATTTTAAAATATTTTTAAAATCTTTTGACTGCAAGAATTTTGATTCATAACTATTTTATCCTTGCCACTCTCTTCATCAAAGGTTGATCATACAGTAATCAGTCACTACTTCGTAATTCATTTGAAGCAAAGCTTTCAGACTTCTAAAAGTCCACAGAGTACATATATGCTAGCGCTATCTCAAGTAAAAGATGTGTGGGACTGTTAAAATATTCTTGCCTACCAATTTTTATTCCTGGAGGACAAAACATATCCATGATCATATCCATACTTTTCTGAAGGTCATCATCCATTAGAACTTCTGATGCTGGGATCTGGAAGAACTTGTCCTTAAAAATGTTTCATGAGAGGAAAAAAAAAAAAGGAAATAATCATTTTAATGTTGTTATTATTAACACATATTTCAATATTGTCCAATTAAAAGATAATCTAGACAGCTTCCCTCTATCAAGACTGTAGAATTCATAAACTAGAATGCTGGTCTCGACTCCAAAATCTTATTTGCTACTTTAATCTTAAAACAGCTTTGAGATATACACAATCAAGTAAATTGCTCTGATTTAATAATGATGATGGTAATAATGATTTTAAAACAAAGAGGCTAACTATTCTCTTTATGTATAGAAAAAACATCTTGTGCTAAGCTTAAATGAATATAACATATAGTATATGTATTATATAGTTATTTAATTTTTCTCTCCCCTATCAGGTTATAAGTTTCAAGAAGGAAGGAATTTTGCTTACTTTGTTCACTGCTGTCTCTCCATCACATAGGATAGTACCTAGTACACAGCAGGTGCTCATTAAATATTTAATGAAAGGTTAAATGAACTGTGTAGGTGGGAGAAAAATTCTCCTCTCAACTACACCTCAGCTCTTTTCCAATCCATGTAGTAAACATTTTAACTTTACCCTAAGAGAGGTCTGGGCTTTGACCTTAGCTTGTGGAACGTAATCTCTAAGCCCTTTCCATGTCACACTTGATAGAAGCATTTTTGCCTGGTAGCCTTGGGTCACTATGAAGAGTTTAACAGTATGATGTAGAGTGGGAAGTTTGGAGCATGTGGTATCATGTTGATCTCAAGAGGGGCTGAAGACTGTGATCAGCCATATGGGCAGTCAACCATACCTACATGACAGAGTCCCACTAAAATCTTTTAGCAGAGCTTCCCTATCTGGCAATGTATTATGTATATTGCTACACACTGTTGCAGGTAAAGTAACAGTCCACAACTCTATGGGGAGAGGACAACCATAAGCTCCGTGTCTGGAACTTTCCTGAACTCTGTCCTGTACATTTCTTTCATTATCTGATTTTAATGTACATCTGTTAGCTGTAATAATCTGTAACTGTCAGTATAATAGTTTTCAGTGAGTTCTAGGAGTCTTGTGAATTATCAAATCTAAGAGTGGCCTTGGGGACTTCCAATTGCAATTATTGTCAGAAATGAGGAAGATTTTTGTAGACTGCCTGAAAACTTTATACAATAATATCTATCTTCCCTGTCAAAGTAACTTCATTTCCTCTAATATAAAATGTGGAGGTTTAAAAAGTATGACCAAGGCCGGGCGTGGAGGCTCACGCCTGTAATCCCAGCACTTTGGGAGGCCAAGGCGGGTGGATCGCAAGGTCAGGAGTTCAAAACCAGCCTGGCCAAGAGGGTGAAACCCTGTCTCTACTAAAAATACAAAAATTAGCCAGGCATGGTGGCGCATAGCTGTAGTCCCAGCCATGGGAGGCTGAGGCAGAGAACTCCTTGAACCCGGGAGGCGGAGGTTGCAGTGAGCCGAGATCGTGCCACTGCACTCCAGCCTGGGCGACAGAGCAAGACTCCATCTCAAAAAACAAACAAACAGAAGTACGACAAAATGTTGATTACAAATAATGCTTCCATAGTGTAGCCGTATCTCTGCATTTTGGCTGTGGTATAGGAAATGACTCTTTAAATCCCTGTTCCTTAATTTTCCACTATTCAACTGTTAAGATTTAGTGTCAAATAAAAAAAGAGATACATACACAGATGATTCAAAATTTATGTGCTCATATTTTACTTATATTTTTAAGTTGCCTTAAGTCCTTTTAGGAATAAAGCAGGTATGAATACACGCATTCAATTTTTTTAAATATTATGTTTTAATTAAAAATATCTTTACTACCTCTGATACTTACAGAATCCATGAGATAGGCTTCTAGTACTCCTGTTCCATCATCAAGTGTAAACGTCATAACAAACACATATTGGAGGGGTACAATACCCAGTACTAGTGAAGGAAAAAAAGATCAAACCATATGAGTCTGCTATTCCTTATTATCAAGGTAAAGTTGGAATTGTTTTATGATAGTATAGACCTGTAAATTTTATTTACTAAAATAACTCAAGATACAAAGAAAAACTTGGCATTATCTCCAGGTAGACAGTGTCAGAACTGAATTGGAGGACACCCAGCTGGCATCTGCTGAGGGACTGCCTGCTTGGTGTGTGGGTGAAAACCCCTATGCGTTTTGGTCACATAAGTCTCCTGTGCTGATTGCTGTGGTGTCAGAGCAGAGGACAAACAGTTTGTGTTTTTAACTCCACAGATACTCAACCTATAATTAAGCTCATTTAGCAGATTCATTTTGGAACATTTCACTATACCTACATAGGGAGAATATCTTATGATAAACAATTTAATCTTTTTCGATTAAATATTAATGTATATTTAAAATGAGTTGACACTCTCACACCTGTACTCCCAGCACTTTGGGAGGCTGAGGTGGATAGATCACCTGACAGGAGTTCAAGATCAGCCTGGTCAACATGACGAAACCCTGTCTCTACTAAAAATACCAAAAAAATAGTGAGGCACAGTAACATACACCTGTAATCCCAGCTCCTCTGCAGGATGAGGCATGAGAAATGCTTGAACCTGGGAGGCGGAGGTTGCAGTGAGTGGAGATTGCACCACTGCATTCCAGCCTGGGCAACAGAGTAAGGCTGTGTCTCAAAATAAATAAATAAAATAAATAAATAAATAAATAAAACAGTTGATAGCCTCCACAGAAACCACAAAAAGTGATTCATGAAATGTAACTCATTGCATGTTAGTTTTATGAAAGATAAAATTAAAATACAGAATGTTCTAAAAAAATAGCATGCAGTTAAATACTGTTTTAGCATGCCTCTCTCCATTATAAGCTAGGGGAATAATTTGTAATTTTAAAAAAGAAAAAAGGGATATCATCTGGTTGAATGGACAAGAATGTCAGAATCTGAGATTTAACAATTTGGTAAGATGAGGAAGAAATAAGAAATTAGAGATACTGGGTAACATGAAAATTCACAGGTTAAGATAAACATCTTGTTTGGTAATGAAGATACTCAATTTATAGAACGTTTTATTAGCTTCTATCTGTGGAACCCATATTTAAATAGTAGGACTAATTAAGAGGGCAAGTAAGAATAAATTAGGACATACAGACATGAACTAGGGCATACAAAAGACATTACTACAGGGGAACTGATTTTTTAGGCTTCAAAAGGTCTCAATAGATTAAAACTGTGAACTAAAACTAAGAAAGATGAACTTAGTAACTACTCCCAGGAACCATAAAAACAAAAATATTACATTAAGAATAGAATGAAGAGACCAAGTTCAAGAAGCTCATGTGACAGGAAAAAAAAAATTACAATAAGAATAGAATGAGGAGACCAAGTTCAAGAAGTTAATATGACAAGAACCCAGGATTTCAACGTACCACAAATAAAACATGAGATAGCTGTATTAAAAAGGAAAGAAAACAAAACCAAGTGTACAAGTAAATAGCTATACAATGACATTTCAGGCTAGTAGAAGTGGAGTGTCCAATTTTAGGTAAAAAATAATTTCACTCTGTTCTGAACTGGTCAAACAACATCTGCAGCACAATGTCCAGCTCTGAATGGCAAATTCTGAGAAGAGCACTAGTAAAGTGGAATGCTTACTGAGGAGGAAAAACAAAATAGTAAGGCACAGGGGAAAGTACAAACAAATGTGATGGTGCCTGCTTGAATAAATATAGACTAAAGAAAGGCTTGGCAGATATCTTTAATTTTACAAAGTCTGTTTATCTTACAGAAGAAGGAATAGGTATATAAAGAAGGAATAGGTATACTTTCAGGTATACTGAAATATAAACAGGTGGAATAACCTTATATACAAACAGTTAAAATTGCAGGGCATGGAAATTTAGCTAACCTTCTGCCACAGAAGAAGGAATCCACGATGTTTTATCGACCAACGAATTTAGATTTTGTATGGATCTCAAACTAGAACACTGCTTACATCTGAAATTTATAAAAGAAAGAACCATAAATATTTAAAAACAATTTAGCTTGTTTAATTGTTATAACTTTTTACTGCTCAAACGTGTAGTTTTAAAATATAAATTATTAAACAGAAGAATACTGCATCCCCTATATTGTAATGTGCTTGCTTGTTTCACAAGAGTATTATGAAGGAGTAAGCTTGTTACATAAAGGCAATAAAAAAGGCAGTATAAGATTCAGAATAAACAACTCTAAATTGAGAACAGGGTGCTGGGTTCCAGGTCCAAATCATTAATTAATTTTGCTCTCAATTTCCTTATTTGTTAAAATGAAAAGTTGAAGAAAATGATCATCTCTAAGAATTCTCTGATTCTATGAGCAATTTTTTTTTTTTTTTTTTTTAAAGATAAGGTCTCAGTCTGTCACCCAGGCACTGCCACCTTTGCCTCCTGGGCTCAAGTGAGTCTCCCACCTCAGCCTTCCAAGTAGCTAGAACCACAGCTGCACACCACTATGACTGGGTAATTTTTGTAATTTTGTAGAGACATATCTTGCCACAATGCCTAGGCTGGTCTTGAACTTCTGAGCTCAAGCCATCTGCCTGCCTTGGCCTCCCAAAATACTGGGATTACAGGCGTGAGCCACCATGCCTGGCCTCTGTAAGTAGTATCTTAATAATTCAAAGTGTTAATAAATATGGCAAATAGAGAAAAATTACTAAACAGAACATGCAAGATTCTAGATAATGAATATTTTTAGAAAGCACATATCCAGAGCTCTGTAGTTTATGATGCCTAATTCCATAGTTAACTTTTGAAATGTATGTAAGTCTAAGACTACACAATACACTAAAGTTGTGCATTGTGTAGTACAGGTATTTTGCTTTACTTGAATACCAATGTATTTTAAATATGAGTAATTTATTTTTTATTATGCATCATCATAATATTTAAGAGATGTTAAGAAAATATACTTGAAAAGATATACTTGAATAAAAATAAAAGTTTAAAAGGTACATGCACATTTGTTCTCATTTGCACTTTGAGGAAAACAAGAGGGTAACCATATTGCATCTTATCCCCTTCTACTCATGAAACAAATAGATGTTTCTTTTCTAACAAAAGATGTTAATTTAATGAAAGAATATTATTGCCTAAGAAAAAGACTATGATATTGATTAGCATTAGACATTATTAAAGTAAGTATAGTATAAAAATTAAGGATATTAAGTGAAAATTAAATACAGAACTACTTACTTCCAAAGCAGCGAAAGGGGAAACAGAAAAAATTAGAAACATAAACTAAATATATCAATAACTTAAGAATATATTTAAACTCAACTATTAAAACTAAAATTTAGCCATAAGCTTTTATGTATGAGTGACATACAAAACAGAATGCCACAAACTTGAAAGCAAAGGGATGAGAGTAAGCTATAAAGCAATTACCAAACAAAAATTTTAAAAAACCTATAAAACACAAGAAACTGTAAAGTTAAAAAGGCATGGAATACATTCAAAGTATGGATGAAACTGACAAAAGATTAGTATCTCTAACATGGAAAGAAACCTTACAATCAATTACATGTATGTGTGCTCACACATGAACCAAAAAAGAAATCAGTAACCACACAGAAAAACAGGCAAAAGATGTGAACATGGAATTCACAGAGTAGGAAACCTACATAGTTGATAAACACGGGGGCTGCTTAAACACACTAGACATCTAGGAAATACAAACGGAAACATCATGGATACCATCTGATGCTCACTGGAAAGTTACAAGTTAGACTAATGCCAAGTATCAGACAGAAATAGACTAATACCAAGTGTTGGAGTGAACTTGGTAGAACTTGGTAGAAAGTAAAATTTTATTAATCACTGATGGGACCATACATTGTTAAAACCATGGGAAGAACAACTTGGTATTTTTCCCATAAAGCAAAACTTACAATCCAGTAATTCTAATTCCAGGTAAACACCTTAGGAGTAACTTTCAAACATTTTTTTAAGGACTCACAGTAAGAAATTCATTTAATATCATATCTTAGTAATACATACATACACATACAATTGAAATGAAAGTTTAGGGAACAACAATGACCCTTACTATGTAAAATGTTCTCTATTATCCATTCCCTCTCATTCTATTTCTTACTACAACCACATCATATAATTAAAAAAAAAAAACTGGTTATGACCCACTGAACTCATTTTATGACAAGAGAAATACACAAGAAAACATATAATGTGACTTCAGTACAGTCTGTAAATGAAACAAAAAACACATATCCATTAATAGGAAAATAGGCTAATAAATTCTGATGCTTCATAACATACTCCATAGACGTTAAATAATCTAAATCTACATGCGTCAATAGGGGTAAATCTTGAAAATAATAATGAATCAAAAAAAGCAAGCTTCAAAAGGCTTGGCATAGTATGAAACAGTTTATATAAATTTAAAAAATGAAAAATACACCACACTGCTTAAGAATTCACACATATAATGAAGGCATAAAAACACTGATGAATAGGATTTCATACAATTTTGGAAAAGTAGCTACCTCTGAGAAAAAAAGAGTTAGCGAAGGGATTGATATGGGGTTATACTACTTCTCTGTAACATTTAATTTCTTAAAAATAAAAGTTTGGAGGCCAAGGCAGGTGGACTGCTTAAACTCCAGAGTTCAAGACCAGCCTGGGCAACATGGCAAAACCCCATCTCTACAAAAAATACAAAAATTAGCCAGGTGTGGTGGTGTGCACCTGTAGCCCCAGCTACTTGGGAGGCTGAGGTGGGAGGATTGCTTGAGTCCAGGATGTCAAGGTTACAATGAGCTGAAATCATGCCACTGCAGCCTGGGTGTCTGAGTGACACTCTGTCTCAAAAAAAAAAAAAAAAAAAAGAAAAGAAAAAGGGTCTGAAATAATGTTAAAACGTTAAGATTTGTTAAATCTAAATGGTGGATACATAATTGTTGTGATGTTACTTTTTATATTTTTCTATAAGTTAAAATTATTTCATAACCCCAAAATAAAAATAAGAATCAATTAAAAGATATACTGGTTTTTGATGATGAAACTCAAGTAATAAAAAATGTAAAAATGTCTTAAAATCTGGAGTGTGAACAACATGTGCCTTAGTTTTGAAGCAACTAGTAAAAAAGTCGACAGCCTTGGTTGGGCGCAGTGGCTCACGCCTGTAATCCCAGCACTTTGGGAAGCCGAGGTGGGCGGATCACCTAAGGTCAGGAGGTCAAGACCAGCTTGGCCAACATGGTGAAACCTCGTTTCTAATAAAAATACAAAAAAATCAGCTGGGTGTTAGTGGTGCGTGCCTGTAGTCCCAGCTACTCGGGGGGCTGAGACACGAGAATCGCTTGAACCTGGGAGGCAGAGGTTGCAGTGAGTCGAGATCATGCCACTGCACTGCAGCCTGGGCAATAGAACAAAACTCCATCTCAAAAGAAAAAAAAAAAAATGGAAGGGGCCTTAAGGTGTAGGGAGACCTCCTGAAACTATTGCTATGGAATAGATTGCTATGGTTCATTTAAATCAGAGAAAAGGTGGAGATGTAGGGAGACACCCTGAAACTATTGCTACGGAATAAAAGATGAAATGCTCCTGATTACTATAAATACAAAATTGCATGCAGGATTGTGTAAAGACAATGCCAGGGGTTGGACTGCCAGAATCAGCCAACAGCGTGTGATGTGCTTCCCCCTGCAGAGAGCCTATGAATGAACGTGCAGTCAGGGAGGTTTCACATCACCGAGATTCCTATCCCAGAAAAGCAGATGTTCATAGCTCTGGGAATGGAATGTGACCCTTGTGGGAAGCCTATAATCGGACGCATGGGGGGGTGCCTGTCCATATGGATAAGATAGGGCTATAAATGCCCTCATCTTGCTGCGGCGCTTCTAGGCCTCTTTAGGGTTCATACTCCCTTCTGAGAATTTCTGGTCTAACCAGTTGTCTAACTTCACGTCCTGTTTCTATGAATTGTTTGTAACCACCTTTCGCTGCAACTGTTAACGCTGTTCCTGTTTTAAGGCTCTGTTAGAAATTACTGATGTACACACTATGTTGTAAATTCTTATCTCTATATACTGTACTTCTATTACAGATGTTAAAGAATTACTTCATCCCCATGTGACCATCTCACCTCATAATCAAACGACCCTAAATCCCTCACTAACCTACCCCTGCCCTCACTAAACTTAATAATAAATGCTGGCATATTGCATTGTTGGCACCGTGGGACCAGAAGGTGGTGACTCCCCCTGGACCCAGCTTTCACTATCTCGTGTGTGTCTATTATTTCTCCACCTGCCGATCCGCCTGGGAACAAAGAGAGAGCCCCGTTGCATTGTGGGCTGCTGGCCAGATCCCGCAATATTAGGGTAATTTTGTTGAGACTTTTAGTGAAAGAAGAAGTAGTATTTCAGAGTTTAAAATGAATATTTCCTTTCCTGGTTTAGACTCGTCATGGTGCCCAGTACTGGGAAGGCAAAATAGAGAGAAAGGGGAAAGAACAAAAGCTAGTGAGTGAGGATCTGCATGCAAAAAGATAAAGCTCAGTGATTTATTATACAAGAAAAACAGAATTTTATGAGTTTTAATTTTTTAATTAATTGGTTTAATTAAAAATCACTTTATTTTCAAAAAAGACAGACTCTCAGATCATAAGACTAATGAGAGAAGGAATTAGACACTGAGTATATCAGAGTAAAAACAGCAACAACACAGAAATTTAAGTCAGTGGTATACAGTTTCGCTTTATGGCTAAAATTTTATGATATGTTGGAAGAACATAGGGCAATGCCTAATAGTGACTTTACCACACAATTAGGGAGGTATCATGCTTACAGTATAATATTTTTCAGCTAGTATATAATTTTTCAATCAGGATTTGCACATTATGACAATGACTAATGATTGCTACAAATTTAGAAGTTGGAAAGAAAGAGGATGATAAAATATATGCTATAATCCAAGGTTTCTCAAATTAGAATATGTCCAGGGTCATTGTTTCATCAAGCAGTAGAGGAGATTTTATCCCTAATCCCCTCCTTCTAAATGTAGAAATCTGTTTATAGCTCGAATGAGTTCTTTTATATTCCAATTATCAGTGGCAGCAAATTTGTGATTTAGTGGCTCAGAAATTCTGAAATTCAATCACTTAATTTTTACCAGGTTTGCAGCTCTGAATTTTTCTCTGTAACTGGTATCTAAATCCTCACTGTTAAAGAAAACAAGTGAGTACCAGCCTCTGGCTGAGGAATTAAAAAGACGGCAGCCTTATGCCTCACACATTGTGTGTACTCTCACTATATATGCTTATCGAAACAACGATATATGCCAGAAAAACCTATACATACAAGTTGATATACTGTAAGTTTCTGTTGAATAGTCACCAATGAAATAAAAGAATAAAAATTACTCTTACACAGTTTTTAATCCCAAAATTTTTCTCAGTTGAAAACACTACCACATATCTACAACCATCTGATCTTTGACAAACCTGAAAAAAACAAGCAGTGGGGAAAGGATTCCCTATTTAATAAAGTGGTGTTTGGAAAACGGGCTAGCCATATGCAGAAAACTGAATCTGGACCCCTTCCTCACACCTTATACAAAAATCAATTCAAGATGGATTAAAGACTTAAATGTAAGATCTAAAACCATAAAATCCTAGAAGAAAACCTGCGCAATACCATTCAGGACATAGGCATGGGCAAAGACTTCATGTCTAAAACACCAAAAGCAATGGCAACAAAAGCCAAAATAGACAAATGGGACCTAATTAAACTAAAGAGCTCCTGAATGGCAAAAGAAACTATCATCAGAGTAAACAGGCAACCTATAGAATGCGAGGAAATTTTTGCAATCCATCTGACAAAGGGCTAATATCTAGAATCTACAAAGAACTTAGACAAATTTACAAGAAAAAAACAAATGACCCCATCAAAAAGTGGGCAAAGGATATGAATAGACACTTCTTAAAAGGAGACATTTATGCAGTCAACAAATATACGAAAAAAAGCTCATCATCACTGGTCATTAGAGAAATGCAAATGAAAACCACAATGAGATACCATCTCACGCCAGATAGAATAGCAATCATTAAAAAGTCAGGAAACAACAGATGCTGGAGAAAATGTGGAGAAACGGAATGCTTTTACACTGTTGGTGGGAGTGTAAATTAGTTCAGTCATTGTGGAAAACAGTGTGGCAACTCCTCAAGGATCTAGAACTAGAAATACCATTTGATCCAGCAATCCCATTACTGGGTATATATCCAAAGGATTATAAATCATTCTACTATAAAGACACATGCACACGTATGTTTACTGCAGCACTATTCACAATAGCAAACACTTGTAACTAACCCAAATGTCCATCAGTGATAGACTGGATTAAGAAAATGTGGCACATATACACCATGAAATACTATGCAGCCAAAAAAAGGATGAGTTCATGTCCTTGCCGGGCATATGGATGAAGCCGGAAACCATCATTCTCAGCAAACTAACACAAGAACAGAAAACCAAACACCGCATATTCTCACTCATAAGTGGGAGTTTAATAGTGAGAACACATGGAGACAGGGAGGGGAACATCACACATCAGGGCCTGTCACGGGGTGGGAGGCTAGGGGAAGGACAGCATTAGGAGAAATGCCTAATGTAGGTGACGGGTTGATGGGTGCAGCAAACTACCATGGCACGTATATATCTATGTAACAAATCTGCATGTTCTGTACATGACCCCAGAACTTAAAAGTATAATAAACAAAACAAAACAAAAAACATACCCATAGTGATGTATTGCTCCTTGTATAAGAAATGGTGCTGAAAGATCCAAAAGTTCCAGGTCTTCGTGGCCAGATCTCACAGGAATTACACTATTAAACTTGTTCGAGAGTTTGCAAATTTCACTGAGTGTACCTCCTGTTAAGAGAATAAATAAATCCTTCAAGTAGTGCAAATAAAATGTAGACAAATGTACAGTCCTATTAAACAACATGTGAGGTATAATAAAAGACTAAAGGAATCGACAGAAAAAGACAATAAATGTATGTGAAAAATATTAATTTGTAAATGTACAATCCTATATATTGATTAAAAAAATCAATCCACAAAAATGCTGAGACTCGGGTAAAATATAAAGCTTGTGAAATTTTAACTAATTTCTTAAATTTAAACAAATTGCTCTTTATGCCAGGAACACGTTGGTTCAAATAACCAAAAGAGGGAATATAAGCTAAAAGCCAGGTTATGATCAGATTCTCACTAATTTGCTATATACTAATTAATATCTGGGCAAATTTAGAGTTTAAATCTCAATTTTCCGGTCAATATTTCATTTAAATATAGATATGAGTGGTTCATGTAATATGAATTCACATATAAAATTTGTTCATTTTTCCTGAGAATATTATCACACTTAATTCTATGACAAAGGAAGCATTCAAATGACCAAGCTGGCGGAGAAGTATTGCCTGGTGGCATGCCATTATTAGAAGGCAGTGTCCTTTTTACTTAGCTTATAATGCTTCCTCTCTCCAGGCAAAATGAATAGGATTTAAAAAAATACCTCTGTGTATTTCCTAAAATTTGGGTAGAATTTGTAATGTCAACATTCAATTATAAAGGAGAAGCACTTCTGGCATAGCAGAGTCAGGACATCCAAAGACACTTGACTGTAACAGCAGTTAAGAATATCGGCAAAAACTGTAAAACCTTTTTTAGAACTCTGGAAATTACCAGAGGCCTTCAACAATCCAAGGAGTGTTTGCTCCAGAAAAAGGGCTGAATTTTGGCAAGAATGGTTGAGCTCTGTGGCATTTTAACTTGCCCTGTTCCCATCCTCCTTCCCCCAAGCTCTTTGTTACTGGAAGCCACAGTTCTGCTATGTCATATTGCAGTTAGATAGAAACCCTCATTATGCATGCTTAAAAACTCCAAACAATATTCCCTAAGCATGCTACTTAAAAGTTTCACAGTCCAAAAGTTAGTCTATCTTCTGGAGACGGATACCTAGCCCTGCTAAAGAAACTCCTGCCTACTGTTCAAAACTGCAATAGGTGACCATTCACCTATTCTCATAGTTCTTATAGAGAAAGAGAATTCTTCTGAGTTCCTCCTCAAAAATACTATTTCAAAGAACCTGGTGAGAGCTCATCTAGTCATTCACACTGTCTATTCACACGAGTTTGGCTCTGGCAAATAAGCTGGACAACCTTGGTCAAGTTACTTAAACTCTAGTATAACATTTTCCCATTTGTAAAACTGAGAATAATGTTACTCTGTAAGATCATTATAAAGATTAAATGAGTTAATATTTGTAAAGCACTTAGAGCCATGAGTGACTATTATTATCAATATTTTAGTGATTTCCTCTTAATATAAAGTCCATGAAAGGAAATACTTTGTTGTGTTTGCTACATTACCACTAATGCCTAAATCAGTGTCTGGCACACAGTAGGCATTCAATAAACATGTGCTAAACAAATGAATGAGTACAAAGAAAGACATTTGCATGTATATACGTGCATACTAGGTTTCTTAAGGTTTGTATCTGGAGACATCCTAACTGAGAGCAATTTATTTGCAACCAGTAGAAATATTTAACATGGACTATGGAGACAGAAAGGCCTAAGTGTGAATTTTTTTCTGACATTTACTAGGTCTTTACCTTTGAGTACTTCACCTTTTTCTCTTGGTCTCAGTTTCCTCACCTGTTTAAAAAGGGGATACATCTAGCTTACAGAAGATTGTTATGAGAGTTAAAGATAAAATACTAAAGTAGGCAGTACAGTGCCTGACACATAGTCTATTCAGTAAATTATAGGTAATAATAAATATTATAATAAAATGATTTGGTGACATTAGAGTTCCATACAAATTATGTTTCAGAGTATGCAGTTTAAAATATAATGTTAATAATAAATATTGTAAACAATTCTATACCCACAAGTTTGACACCTTAGATAAAATGGTTCCATTTCTTGAAAGACATAATCTATCAAAATTCACACAAGGAGAAATATATCATCTGAATAGGTCTATGTCTATAGAGAAATTAAATCAATAATAATCATCTTGAAAAAAGTCACCAGGCTCAGATTGTTTCAATAGATAAGTCTACCCAAACACAGAAATGATACCAATTCTCTACTATGTATTCTGGAAAATGGAAGTAGAGGGGATGTTTCCTAATTCTTATGAGGCCAGCAATATTCTAATACATAACCAAATACAAGAATGAAAACCTATAGATCAACTTCTCTTATGAAAATACATACAAAAATACTCAAAAAGTATTTAAAAATTGAATCAAAAAAGAAAATAATTATTCACCATGACCAAATGAAATTCATTTTAGGTATGCAAGGCTGGTTAAACACCTCAAAATCAATTAATGTAATTTATCACATTAATAGGTTAAAGAAGAAAAATTGTATGATCATATTAATAGATGCAATAGAAAAGCACTTGATAAAATTCAGTATCATTAATAACAAAAATTCTCAACAAACTAGGAATATTGGGGAGCTTCTTCAACTTGACAAAGAACATCGATAAAACAGCTACAGCTAAAATCACATTTAATGGTGACACTTTCCACCTAAGACTGAGATAAAAGCAAGAACATTCCCTCTCATTGCTCCTATTCAATATTGTACTGGAAGCCCTATCTAATGCAGTGAGAAAAGGAAACAAAAGGTATACACACTAGGAAGGAAGAGATAAACTGTCTTTGTTTACAGGAAATCACAACAAAAAAATTCCTGAAACAATAAGCAATTATTAACGGTAGAGGATACAAGGTTAATCTAAAAAAAAAAATCAATTGCTTGACTATACATAAGCAATAAATAATCGGAGTTTGAATTTAACATTAAATAATTAGCACCAAAAAAGAAAATACTGAGGTATAAAGCTAACAAAATGTGATCTATATATTGTTGGATTTACAATATTTATCTGAGTAAAACTATAAAACCCTAAAGAGATCTAAGAAGATCTACATAGATAGTCCAGGTTCATTGTCAATAATATCAAGATGTTAGTTCTCCCTCTCCAGCTTGACTTATAGATTTATGGCAATCTTTTTTTTTTTTTTTTTTTTTGAGATGAAGTTTCGCTCTTGTTGCCCAGGCTGGAGTGCAACGGCGCGATCTCGGCTCACTGCAACCTCCGCCTCCCGGGTTCAAGCTATTCCACTGCCTCAGCCTCCTGAGTACTTGGGATTACAGGTATGCACCACCATGCCGGACTAATTTTGTATTTTTAGTAGAGATGGGGTTTCATCCATGTTGGTCAGGCTGGTCTCGAACTCCCAACCTCAGGTGATCTGCCTGCCTTGGCCTCCCAAAGTGCTAGGATTACTGGAGTGAGCCACCGCGCCCAGATGGCAATCTTAACAAAAATTCCAGCAAGTTATTTTTTGATATTGAAAAACTGCTTATAAAGTTTATATGGAAATGCAAAAGATTTACAATAGCCAACACAATACGGAAGACAAAGAAAGTTGCAGGACCAACACTACACAATTTCAAGAATTACTGTATAGCTTTAGAAATAACAATGGTGTGATATTGGGAAAATAACAGATAGCTAGATTAAAACAGAACAGAGAACACAGAAACAAATTCACAAAAATAAACTGGTTTGACAAAGAAGCAAAGGTAATTCAATGGCGAAGGAACAGTCTTTTTAACAAATGGTACTGGAAAACTGGACATCTGCATGCAAAAAAAAATCTGGACACAGATCTTACACCTTTTACAGAAATTAACTGATACTGTTTTGTATGAGACTCTAATGGTGGGTACATGGTATTCTGCATTTGTCAAAGCATAAAGAACTGTAAAGCAAAACGAGTGAACCCTAATGTAAACTAGGGTCACAATAAAATAGAGTCAACTGCATTAACTTGGCATGAATATCAGTGAATGCTACTGTAGGTGCTTAAAGTCTAAGAATGACTTTGTATTTATATCATTTTCTTTGGTTCATCTCTAAGTCCAAGTCAGTTTTTGATTTTGTTACTTCCTAATCAGAATAGTGCCATACTTCAGTAAGATCCTAGTCCTTGGCTCAGGTTATACTTAGAAACATAAAATAAAAATAGCTCACATTTCTTATATTCCTTTTACATTTCAAAGTGCTTCTACATACATCCTCATTTTTTTAAAAAAATAAGCCTTTTTTAAAAAGAAGTTTTAGGTTCATAGCAAAATTAAGCAAAAGGTACAAAGTTTCCCTATGTCTCCTAGTCTCTTCCCCATTATCGACATCTTGCACCAGAGTGGTAAATTTAGTCAATCAAGAAACCTATTTTAACCACTATCACTCAAAGTCCACACTTTACATTAGTAACAAACCATTATCACTCAAAGTCCACTCTTTACATTACTAACAAACCATTATCACTCAAAGGCCACAGTTTACATTAGTAACAAACCATTATCACTCAAAGTCCACAGTTTACATTCCTAACAAACCCATTATCACTCAAAGTCTAGTCTATATTAGGATTCACTCTCCGTGTTGTACATTCCAGGTTTTGTTTTTAAGACTTCATTTTTTTTTTTAAGGAGCAGTTTCAAGTTCACAGCAAAATTAAGAGGAAGGTATAGAGATTTTCCATATCCCCTGCTACTATACATGCTAGCCTCCTCCAGTATCAACATCCTCCACCAGAGTGGTACATTTGTTAAAAATGAACCTATACTGACACATAATCACTCAAAGTCTATAATTTACACAGAATTCCCTCATTTATTAAAAACAAAGCTAAATATTACTCTAATGCAAATTAAAGAAGGTATTTTTCTTCTATTACAAAAGGTTACAAGGGAAGGAAAGCCTTAAGAAAAATAATGAAAAGGTTACAAGGGAAGAAAAGCCTTAAGAAAAACTCTAAACTTGCCATGAGGAAACATTTACAGTACATATTTTAGATAAATATTAGATAAAAATTAGATGAAAATGAAAAAACAAACATGATAAATTTCATTTAAAACTCGTCAAGTTATCTTTACTTGTTTCAATGGTCTCTTCTTTGATTTTGATACAATAGATGACTTTCACCCTATTTCTATGAAACAACAGTGACATCCAGAGGCCAATAAAACAGCGACGGTACATAAGCAATCAGCCTTTTATTATTACTTAACTAGACACTCATGTTAGCATTGACAAAATAAAATGCAATCCAACAATATAGTTAAATGTTAACACTTGAGTCTGAAGTACAATTTCAAATGTAATTAAGATAAATTTATGTACGTGTGCATATATATATATTTGAATCCAGTTAACATATATATTCAATTTTGTAAAATTTAAACACTATTTTTACTTTATATGTTCTGGGTTGTCTGTAAAATATATTAAACAATAATTAGGAAAAATATGGAAAAGGAGTATTCTAACAAAACAGTGACTTAAACATCTTACCTTCTATCAAAAGTAGACATTCATTTGAAAGTGGGAGAATACCATTATTTTTCACAAAATGAACTGCTACTTTTCGTCCTTTCTGATTTTTAGTGGTCCAGATTTTTGAATCGTATAATGCTGTATTTTGAAGCTTGACATCTGGGGTTTTAGTTGCACCATCCTGCAAAATTATATCCAAATCACCCTCACGTGGAACTTCTTGCCTAAAATTATTGACAATGAAATGACAAAAATCAATTTTGGTATAAGCTTGAAGATTTCAATTTAATAAGTAATCAAATTAAAAAGTATCATTCTTATATGCAGATGAGTCAGTTACTTTTTCTTAAATTATCTAAATTATGGAGACAATTCACTTTGCAGAACAAATAACTTTTTTCAATAGATAAATATTTGATATTTTGTGGGTAAGTATATCCCAATCATAATTACATTAATTACCAGTGATTTCCATGCCTGGTTTTGTGATACAAAGCCACTTATAATTATTTCTAGTATCAATTTTTTTCTTCTCCGTAAGGAATGCTAAATTTCCCAGTAGGAGAAAAAAAATACAGTGGCCCCCGGTCTTCACTCCAGTTAAATACCCACTTACCACACTTAGGGAAAAGGGCACTTCTAAACTAATAATATTTCCAATTCTATTTAATAATTAATAATTTTGAGAAGTCATATGGTTAAGTATCATGTAGCAGAAATGGCATCATTTGGAATCAAAAAGTGTATGGTTTTATTCTAGTTCTGTTGTCAATTAACTGTGTAACTTTAGATAGTTTCTGTTAATTTCTGAGATAATGTCCTTATTTGTTTAAAAAATGATCGCAGAGAGTGGTTTTATTTTACAAAGCTGTATGATTTTACAAAATTCAATAAACCAAAATTTGATAATACTTGAAGAATTATCTAAAATCCTTATATATACATTTTAATCCCAACCACCATTTCAAGCTCAAATGGGTAAAAACTGTTCCCTTACATTTTATTTAAAGAGATTTTAAAATAAAAAATTTCCTCAAACAGCATTATACTCAAATTTTTGAGGGGAAAATATATGTATATTAATGAACACTGATACTCACAATTTATAAGCACACAAATACATGGCGATGTACATATATATATACATATTGTAGCACATTTTAGTGAAAACTCAATTTATGGCATCCAAATGCATACAGCCATCAATTATCTACATTTTCCAAAACATCATCTTAGATATTCAGAGGAAAAATAAGCAAATTGCAAAAAGATGAGGAGCTTTTAAAAATGATTTTCAGAATATGTCTCAAGCTGATTACGTAGTAAAAGGATTACAAAACAGTTATATACATTTATTACATATTTATATAATCACTGATGTTCAGAGTAAGGCACTGAGAAATTCTCAATTACTAAAGAAAATTTAAATTACATTTATTATATTCTAGTTATTAAGTAGGACAGAAGTTTACCAACAAGGCTCTCTGTATCACTTAATTAGATATTTCAAGTAATCACAACTCTTTCCAAAAATTTCAGTTAATAAAGGTTTATATTTAAGAAGATACTTTTGTGACAAATGAGTCTGCCCAAATATATTAATTATTTATTATTTCTCATTTGCCTTTATCAGAGTGACTAAGCTGAATTTTAGATCTGAAAATAGCAACCACTTTTATTACTATCAGAATAATTTATTCTCTAAGAATTTAGCATTTTACCTAAAAAATTTACCACTCTTGCAAAATATATTAACAATTTACTTATTCCTAAGACACAAAATTATACATATGAGCACATATATAGACAAATAATATGAAAGCACATTTGTTTTATTATGGAAAATACTCACAGTAAATGACATTTAGGGCAATGAAGTTTAACAGACTGAAATAGTCTTCTGGGCTTATATGACCTCAATTTTGCTCGGATGCGATATTGTTGAGGAGCTTTTTGTTTCAAAATGGCACACAGTGGTGTCCTCTCCAAATATTGATGATCTGTAAGTACTGTAAAGAATTTTTATATATTAAAACAGAATAGCAAGAATCATATTTATGACATGCATCCTTCTGAACCAAATATATACTATAAAATTTAATTAATTTTAGATCTATTAAGTGTCACTCCATGAAAGCAAGGGTTATGTCTTTATTCCCTAATGTATATCCAGGGCCCACTAGCATACTGCCAGGCACACAGTAGGCACTCAACAAATGTGTACTAAATAAACGCTGGATAATTTGGGGGAAGAAATAACTTAATTGCCTAATAAGCATTCAAAAAAGTATTTTTATATGGGACTAATGGAAATCTGGCTAACAGAAAAAAAGCAAGGTTTATTTAGCTAAGAAAATAATATGCTAGGCAACCGTTTACGTTCTAATTGGTGTCTGCCACAAAAGAATGTAACAAAACACACTTGCTGAATATTATTTGCAGGCTCTTGGATGTTTCAAATTAGTTACGGAACTATCATTTATAAAATCAGATTAAGAATAGGAAAGGACATTAAGGGTGATATAACTGTCATGGGAGTGGTGTAGTAGTGGAGAAGAGAAGAGGAAGTTTGGGGAGTTGGAAGGAGAGAGTGGAGCATGAGGGAGAGGAAAAGGAAGAGGAAGTTGAATCAAACTGGAAAAAAAAGTCAGACAAAAGCATTAGGAGCAATTGCCTGGGAAATAGGTACAAGAGGTCTCCTCAGCTACTTGTGGAAAGATGGCCTGGGTGATCAGTTTTTACTGGAAAAAAGTATAAAATTGCTGGTGACCCTTAGCTTAAGGCAACAGCTTGCTATACATTCTAGCTTAACACTTTCATGTGTTTTAGAAAATGAAAATGATGTACAAATCTTATTAACCTCAATGGCAAAGACAATTCCTTTCAGCTTTAATTCAGTGAAATCCTTGTTGAATTAGTTTTCCTTCAAGGATCAAACGGCCAAGAGTTTACAGTGGAACATTTTGTTGTGGTGGAGATTTTTTTTTTTTTTTTTTTTTTTGGGGGGGATGGAGTTTCGCTCTTGTTGCCCAGGCTGGAGTGCAATGGTGTGATCTCTGCTCACCACAACCTCTATCTCCCGGGTTCAAGTGAGTCTCCTGCCTCAGCCTCCTAAGTAACTGGGATTACAGGCATGTGCCACCACGCCCAGATAATTTTTGCACTTCAAGTAGAGACAGGGTTTCTCCATGCTGGTCAGGTTGGCTTCGAACTCCCGTCCTCGGGTGATCTGCACGCCTCAGCCTCCAAAGTGCTGGGATTACAGGCGTGAGCCACCACGCCCGGCTGGCGATTGTTTTAAAAAGACCATTGGCAGACCTGATCAATTTAGTGTAAATTGCTGCACAGTGATAAGAGCAATTGCTTCAAACTCATATTTTAACCTAAAGTTTTTTTTTTTTTTTGAGACGGAGTCTCGCTCTGTCGCCCAGGCTGGAGTGCAGTGGCCTGATCTCAGCTCACTGCAAGCTCCGCCTCCCGGGTTCACGCCATTCTCCTGCCTCAGCCTCCCGAGTAGCTGGGACCACAGGCGCCCGCCAGCTCGCCCGGCTAGTTTTTTGTATTTTTTAGTAGAGACGGGGTTTCACTGTGTTAGCCAGGATGGTCTCGATCTCCTGACCTTGTGATCCACCCGTCTCAGCCTCCCAAAGTGCTGGGATTACAGGCTTGAGCCACCGCGCCCGGCCCAACCTAAAGTTTTTAACTTTTCATTTTAAAATGCTTTCAAACTTAAGGAAAATTGTAAAAACAATACAAAGACCTTCTGTATAATCTTCACTAAGATTCACCAATTGTTAACATTTTTGCACATTTATCGTTGTCACCGTGTCTGTCTTTACCTGTCTCTCAACACATAAATATTATTGAATCATTTGAGAATAACTACCAGACATTATGCCTCCTTTTCTCTAAATCCTCCAGTATGTATTTGAAAAGAAGGCATTTTATTGACATAATTACAGGTAATTTTCAACATTAGAACATTTAACTGATTTATTACTATAATCAAATTAACAAACATTACTCAAATTTCTACAATTGTCCTCAAAATGTTCTTCGTAGCATTTATTTTGTTTTCAAGTCTAAGATCCAATTCTGGACCATGTATTACATTTTATTCTCATGTCTCTTTAGACTTCTTTAATGTAAAATAAATCCTCAGTTTTTCTTTATCTTTCACGACACTGATATATTTGCACAGCTATTTACTCTGTAGAATAAACACCAAATTGTGTGTATCTGGTTCTTCCTTAGGCTCAGGTTTAGCTTATGCATTTTTGGCTGGCATAATGCATACGTGATACTTGTGCTTCTCAGTGCAGCACATCAAGGGGCATACAAAGTGAGTGTTTCTATTACTGTAGACCTAAACTTTATTCACCTGGTAAAGGTGGTGTCCAATTACTTCTCTACTAAAAACTTACCGCTTTCCCCTTGCATTTAACAAGAATATACAAGTAAATATCTTATTTTTCATCATATATCTTGATAGTTTAGAATCCACAGATTCATAACTAACTCAACAATGACTATCATGGTTACAAAATGGTGACTTTTTTTTTTAAATTTCATCATTCCTTTCATATTTGTTATTTTACTTTAAGAAAGATATTTCCACTTAACCCCATATATTTTATTTTTCCTTTATCATCATCAACATGGGCTCATTCATTCCTGCTTTACTCAATTAGTATTAATCTTATTTGTTTTGATGCTCAAATGTTCCCAGATTAGACATGTTCTATCCTAAGCCATTTGACGAGTTTCATCATTAACTGAGAACCTCCTTACTTTCTAGTACTACAAGGTTACTCCATACTAATTTTGTAATTCCCCTGTTCTAGTTCTGAAATCTGTTGTTTCACCAAGGAGCTCTGATTCCTTTAGAGAAAAATATTATTTATAAACCACGATCTGTGCACTAGGTTTGCTTATGGCAACTGGAGTGCTGCTGCCTCTATGACTTTTCATGGAGAGAGAGATAGGGTATATATGAAAACACATTCATACTGACACACACACACACACCCCCCTATAATATAAATGAAAGTGTGTGTATATATGTGAATATATATGTATCATACATACACACAGCTACATCTATTTCTGTATTTACCTAGGAAAACATGAGTACATGATGGCACCTCCAATTACAATACAACATTAAAAGCATTCATCAATCCTTTTCCCATTCGTATTTGTATCTTCTTCCTCCAATTTGAGAAATTAAAATTTAATAAATTTGTGCTTAAAAATATTTTTCTGAAAATTGTATTAATTAGCTGATGTAACAAAAGGAGGGTACTTGATAGACACACTATCATTACTAACATTAAATTAAAATTTTGAGGCATATTGCAAGGAGCTCCTTTATGGTACACTGTTTAATGCATCATGTGACAGGATAACTCTTCGTGTAACAGTTTAAAGATACATGTCTTTACATTGCATATTTTAAGTCATGTAACTCTAACAGAGATACATGACTTAAAATACATCAGGTATTTAATGCTTAAAATATATATCTGTTTTAAACGTTAAGTCTGTTAGAGATATATGACTTAAAATATGCAATGTAAAGACTCGTATCTTTATGGGTTCCATTTTGTGCCAATGGCACATGGTAGAAGAAGAAAGTTAAATATGGACATATTTTAGCTTTAAAGGATACGTGTTCTACTATTAGAAAGAAATGGATTAGTTGGTAAGTGTAGAGGCAGACTTTATTACACTCATTACTGTGCCCATATCAAAAATGATACATGGTCTTACTTGTAGCAGATAGCTGTTGACATCTTTCTACCTCATACAATGATACTGATCCAGAGCCTATAAAAAGGAAAAGGAAAAAGAATTAAGCCCATTACAACTTCAACGTAGAACTGAAAACAGTAGAGCACTGCTGAGAGAAACTGAAGACAATACAAATGAACGGTGAGATATGTCACATTCATGATTTAAAAGGCTCAATATTAAGTTATCAATTCTCTCCAAATGAATCTGCAGATTCAGTATAATCCTTTCAAAATAGCAGAGACTGGGGTGGGCACAGTGGCTCACGCCTATAATCCCAACACTTCAGGAGACTGAGGTGGGTGGATCACTTGAGGTCAGGCGTTAGAGACCAGCCTGGTCAACATGGTGAAATCCCTTCTCTACTATAAATACAGAAACTAGCCAAGTGTGGTGCAGATGCCTGTAATCCCAGCTACTCAGGAGGCTGAGGCACGAGAATCGCTTGAACCCAGGAGGCGAAGGATGCAGTGAGCTCAGATTGTACCATTGCACTACAGCCTGGGCAAGAGAACGAGACTCTGCCTCAAAACAACAACAACAAACAAACAAACAGCAGAGGCTTTACTGCAGAACTTGCAAAGCAGATGCTATCACTTATGTGGAAGTGCAGAAAATCTAGAATATTAAATAACATTTTATAAAATAAGAACAAAGTTGGAGAACAATGTACATAACTTTAAGACTTACTATAAACTTACAGTAATTTAAGACAACATAGAACTGGCATGAGGATTGAAAAATAGATCAACTGAATTAAATTAAATAGAGAGCCTGGAAATAAACCCACATTTACATTGTATTTTGATTTTTTACTAAAGCAGCAAAGCAATGCAAGGAGAATGCAAAAGGTGATGCAATAATTGAAAATTTAGTATGGGGAAAATGCATACTTCACACTATACTAGTAAGCATTGAATGGGAAGACTAGACATAAGCCCACATTTATACTCGCTTGACTTCTGACAAAGACATTGAAGTCATCTAACAGGAAAAAGGAAACAAATGATGCCATAACAACTAGAAATTCCTATCTAAAGAAAAAATGTCTACCACATATCATGTGGCATTAAAAAGGAAACAAACTAGTGATATATGCAACAATGTGATTAAATCTCAAAAACATATAGTATGTAAAAAAGGATACATATGATTCAATTTTTTCAAAGTTCTAGAACTGCAAATCTAGAGGCATTTAGGTTACAAGCTTATGTATTAGTCAAAACTCATGGAGTGGTTCATAAAATGGAAAGTTGTCCATTTCACTGCTAATTTTACCTCAAAAACAAAAAACTCTAAATAACTACTCAACTCTAGCTAATTATGTTCATGCCACGGTGTTTAGAAAATGTATTTATGTCTGCAACTTACTTTGAAATGTGTAAAAAATATAAATTAATGAATGAAAAGGCATATAAGCCAGGCGCGGTGGCTCACACCTGTAATCCCAGCACTTTGGGAGGCTGAGGCGGGTGGATTACCTAGTCAGGAGTTCGAGACCAGCCTGGCCAACATGGTGAAACCTTGTCTCTACTAAAAATACAAAAATTAGCTGGGCATGGTGACAGGCACCTGTAATCCCAGCTACTTGGGAGGCTGAGGCAGGAGAAGCTTGAACTCAGGAGGCAGAGGCTGCAGTGAGCTGAGATCGTGCCACTGACCTCCAGCATGGAGGACAAAGCAAGATTACACCTCAAAAGAAAAAGAAAAAAGAGGCATATAGAAATAAATGCACATGTGATGGAGCAAACAAAGTAAAATAGTTATTGGAGAGTCTAGCTGGTAGGTATTTGAGTATTCATTGTACAACTGTTTTAACTCTACCATGTACGAAAGTCTTTATTATGTTGAAAAAATACAGTGTAGAGGAAATAAAAGAGGAGATGGATAAAATAGTAAACTTATGAAATTTAATAGAATGACCAAATGAACATCAAAAATAGGACTTTAACAAGAAAGCAAAAGTAGTAGTCATAGCATTTAGGTTACAAAATGCTTTCTAAAAAGAAGAATTTAAGACTTTAAAAATCTGTATTTTGTAATCACTTTAGCTTACATTCTATTATACATAACAGTATATTATGTTTTTATAATTTATTTTATAAAGCATTACACACAAACATATCCTCAGTATTGCTAATAAGTGGTATAAAAATCCAAGTCAAGAGGACTTGAATGAACATCTCAAGCTGGCATTGGTATAATTTCAATAAATCTAATTCAGTAATTAATATTAGCCATTACAACACGAGATGGAAACAATGGCAGAAACCATAAAAGTAGTCAAATAAGAAAATGTGTAAAACATACATGGTTGCCCACAAACTGACAAAAATATAATTTAACAGAAAATCAGATAAAGGGTAAGAGCAAATAATCTGAGGAAGAGGGAATTAAAAACGTTCATAAACATATAATAAGATTTTCAAGTTTCCAAGTAGTCAGGAAAATTAAGTAAGAAAATGCGTTTCACCTGCTGAACTGTCAAAAATTACATATAATGTTAAATTTCAATACTGTGAAGGTATGAGGAAAGTACATTCTTCTATACTGCTATTTGGATATAAATTCCTATGACTTTTGGTAAATAATCGGGCAGCATCTATTAAAAGACATGCATACCCTTCGATATATCAACCTCACTTTTAGGAGTTGATTGTGGAGAAGTGCAAACATGGAAGCACATATATTCAAGGATGTTTATTAAAGTATTATTTATAACAGCAAAAAAATGGTAAAGATCTCAACGTCTATTAAATGAAAAATGAAAAAAGTGTAACATTATTACTATGCAACTATAATGAATTTGAGTCATATGAATTAGCCCAGAAAAAAAGATCTATAATATATTGTTGAAGAAAGCAACTATTTATTATAGTGTGATTTCATTTTGGTAAAAATTTAAGAAAAAGAGAAGAGTCATATTGTTTATGTATAGGTATATATGTTTGTATAAAGATGAAGTGATTGAAGGAATCACACTAAACTGTTAAATCTTACCTCAGGGAGTAGGGAATAAAGGCATAGTGAAAGCTATTCAACTAGATATTATAACACCTATTACAGTGTACTTTAAAAATAATGAAAGAATAATTCTAAAAGGAAAAAGAGATTGTAAAAAGTATAATTACAAATTATATTGTCTCCAAGTGATTGTCATTTGAACTAAATCGGTTTCCTCATGGTAGTTCAAGTAATCATACACTAGGCCACAATGTTATCACGAAGGTGTTAGCATTTTAAAATAAGTAGTTTTAAAACAGAGATAATGAAGAAAATAAATGTAAAGTACATACCAAAAAATCAAAAAGCCTGCATTTGAATTTGTCTTGCTTTATCATCAGTTAACAGCTAAGTAACCGTGGACAAATTATATGATATCCATCCATCGAAGCCTCAGTTTCCCATTGTTAAAAGGAGACAGAATAATTCATCTCATAGGATTGCTGTTAGAATTAAATAATAATGCGGCCGTGTGCGGTGGCCCACGCCTGTAATCCCAGCACTTTGGGAGGCCAAGGCAGGTGGATCACGAGGTCAGGAGATCGAGACCATCCTGTCTAACATGGTGAAACCCCGTCTCTACTAAAAATTAAAAAAAAAAAAATTTAGCTGGGTGCGGTGGCGGGTGCCTGTAGTCCCAGCTTCTACTCGGGAGGCTGAGGCAGGAGAAAGGCGTGAACCCAGGAGGCGGAGCTTGCAGTGAGCCGAGATGGCGCCACCTCACTCCAGCCTGGGTGACACAGCAAAACTCCATCTCAAAAAACACACAAATAAACAAACAAAAGAATTAAATAATAATGCCTGCAGGCACTTACATGCCTACCAAGAAATGTATGTTAATTTTCATGCTTATCATTATTGGGATGGAAAGAGAATAAATCTCATAAAACGATTTTTTGGATCACAGCAAGGTAGGAGTTAGGTAGAAAATAAAACAAAAACAAAAAAAAACAAAACAAAAACAAAGAAACGTGACCTAGATTCCAGGTCCCAAAATGCAGATGTAGAAATTCAGACAGGCCAGGCGTGGTGGCTAACACCTGTAATTCCAGAATTTTGGGAGCCTAAGGCAGGAGGACTGCTTGAGACCAGGAGACCAGGAGGTTGAGACAGGCCTGGAACAATATATAGTGAGATCCTGTTTCTACCAAAAATAAAAATTTAAAAGAGTAAAAAAAGCCAGGCGTGTTGGCATGTGCAGGACTACAAGTCCTTGCTACTCAGGAGGCTGAGGCAGGAGGATATCGCTTGAGCCCAGGAGTTTGAAGCTGCAGTGAGCTATGATCCTGCCACTGCATTCCAGCCTGGTCGCCAGAGCAAGACAATGTCTCTTAAACAAACAAAAACCCAGAAATTAAGACAAAGTGGTAAAAGAAAAAACAATGCACACTGAAAGCTTTCAAGTTCAGATTTGACTAGTCATCTATTCAAGTAGACAATATTAGAAGGACATATTCCACTGTTTGTTAATATTTTGTATTTAGATACCTGCTTAATTCAATAAAGACTAGAAACTATGTATACATCTAACATATGTATGAGCAAAAAGTATTTGGGCCATGTGAAATAAGTGGCAAAAACAATCTTTGTTCCCTTTAAAAACTGACAAGCAAAATAGTTGTCTATGAAATCAATACAGATTTTCTTGTGAATACAAACACATGTTATGTATATATCATAATCAAGTAATCACCACCACCCAATTTGAAAATGTAATTACATAATTTAGGAAGAAACCATGTTTACTTTTTGGCATAGGATACAGATAAAGATTTTAGTATGTTCCTTTACTATATGAAATTTTTAATAAGAGAGACAAAGAGAAGACATTAAAAATAATTATGTTGATAAAGCTATTTTATTTAGCAAGAACTAAACTGTCAATGTTAAAGGTTGTCCTTACTTGGAAAGCTGTCATCAGGTTCTGATTGACAGATAACATCTGAATGCTGATTGGCTGTCAAATTTGCAGATTCTAAATCCCTATAATTGAAAGAATACAATTTCAAATTGCATAAAACAAAGTCAATATAGTAAATTTAGCTGTACCCACAAAATCCAGAAATTCATTGATATTGTATATAAAATTCTGTGTGTATAAACATTCTTCAGTAAAGGATCTGTTGCTTTCATCAAATTTTCTGAGGGTTCAAATTAAAAAGCTGAGTTTAGAAAGATACAAGTGAAACAGGGCAATGACAAAATAATACAAACAAAAATAAACTAGGAATTTAACGGATGGCATTCTGGGTCAGAACAATCTAACTCTAGATTCAAGAAGCTAAATACTATGTTGCTATATATGGCAATGATATTAAAATCAGTGAAACTGATATAAAAGTAATAAAACAGAAGCTAATTTAAAGTCACACTGATTTCAATGAATTAAAATTTAGACAAAATTTATTTAAATTTACTGAACAGTATGTTTTCTCTTTGAAGATATGAAGACTTTTTAAATTTCTAGAATATTGACCAAAATGCTTCTACACACAGTACTTGCTAGGAATACCTTGGGAAAAAGAGATCTAAATATATAGCAGGTTTAAGATACTATTTACTTTCTGGCACATGTAAAAGTTTTAAAAATGTTTTTAAAAGGTTTAAAAGAGAGTGATACACCAAAACATGTGTTACCTATTTAATCAGTGGCACTTCAGAAATATATTTTTTTCATGAAAGAATTGAATATTTTTGGAATCTTAGATATGTATCAAATTTTCTAAACTTTAGCTAAGGTCTAGTTTCCACTGTATGTTGCTGTACTTGCAGAGTGTGGTAAATGATAGAAAAGAAGCAAGAGTGTAAAAGCCAGATTCTAACAGTTGGAAAACTTCAACTATAACCTTGGCTCTGCTACTACTTAGCTATATGAGCCTGTAATCATTTGATTTCTTTCATTCGGCTCATCTGTTTAAAAACATGGCGAATGGCACAAAAGGCTAGGGAACCTATCAGAAACCCCAGGAACAATATTATCTTAGAAATCAGCTTAATCAATACCTTATTTACACTTTCTAAAAATTAAAAGCTTACTTTTTCAGTTGATCCACATCAGAGTTAGTTTCTGGCAAGACCCTGATTCCCCGACCATAACTGGTACCTCCATGAAGATGAAACTCTAAACTTAACATTGTCTGATTCTCCGAATTCATTGATTGAAGTTTGGTATGAAGGCTATAGATTCTAAGAAAGCTTCCAACCTAAAAATAGATAATTTGTTATTTGGAAAGCGAGCAAAATAAAACTTTAATAACCAATGTGGGGCAATGAGGGCACTGACCAATCAGGAAATATACTAAAGTATCTGCAAAGTATGCTATACGAGTATGGCTGAGTAACAGCTGCATGGAAACTGTATCAAAACTAAATATATGGACATGTGCATGCCTAAGCATGTATGCACACACATACATATACACACACATTCAACTGTAAGAGATATTTTCATTTCAGACATATTAAAATGTGAAAAAAACCTGTGTCTTAGCATCAATAAAATACAATGGTTAAGAAACCCATTACCTAAATGGAATTCAAGCCCTCTATTTGACTAAAGTTTCTGAAAATGCTTTGCTTTAACCAGTTTAAGGCTTAATTAAATATGATCCCTAAGATACTGTCATTATGAGAATACTAAGAAGAAATTTTAAATGTGGTACTATCAAAAAATAATAAACATCTTCCATCTTACAAGTTCTATGGAAAAAAACTTTTGCATTTGTGCCTGCACCACCACAGTGTGAAACACTCTGTGAGTTCAAATATGAGTTATCAGAGTTTTGAAATAAATGTTCTATAGTTAATCTCAGATGTTTTGCTAAACTTAGTCTACAAATATCTAATTATAGACCACTGAGATTTTTCTTTTAATGGAGATGTCAAATGAGAGAGATGCAGAATGCTATTCAAATATATTGACACCTACCTAAAAGAAGCTATATAACCTAAATCACATTTACATTTATGAAGAAAGATTTAGAAGCAAAAGGAGTTACAAACAAGGAAATTTAATTCATTTGTATAAAAATAGCACTCCTGACTATTGGGTGACTACAGAGATACCACTTTTTTTGACCCCACAAGTTCAGGATTGAATAACAGACATCTTCAATAACAAAAAAAAAAAGCAATATAGGTTAAATATTCTTTATCTGAAACACTTGAAATCAGAAGTGTTTCAGATTTCAGATGTTTACGGATTTTGGAATATCTGCATATACATAATGAGATATCTTAGGGATGAGACCCAAGTCTAAACATGAAATTCATTTATGTTTCACATATATGTCATACACATAACCTGAAGGTAATTTTCGATAACATTTTCAATTATTTTGTGCATGACACAAAGTTTTTGTACACTGAATAACTGGAAAGCAAAGGGGTCACTATCTTATACTGGCACTCAAAAAGGTTTGCATTTAGAATTCTGGACTTTTAGATCATGGAGGCTCAATCCTATAAAGGGAAACATTAAAAAAAAAAAAAAAAAAGATGAGCAGCAAATCAGGTTTCCAATTCTGCTTATTGTAGCTTCTCTTAATTTTATTTCCCCTCATTACTCTTTATTTCTGATGGAGGATATCAGCAAAGGAGGTAAGGAGAAAACCCACTCTCCCAGGTGCTACTCTTTCATTCCTAAGGATCTTTTTTCCCATCCAATCATGGGTTTTATGAGGAGCAGATAAGATACAAGCCTTTTCTTTGACCTCTTTCGCTGACATCTGTATCACAGCCAGGGAGTAGTATAAAGAAACTTAAAGAAGAAAAGCACAGAAAGAAAAAACTAATTTTCCTCATAGTCTTCAAAGTGAGATATTGGAAAAAACATAAAAATTTCTAGTTTTATCTCATTCTTTTTGACTTATTTTGTGATTCTTTTAAAATATGTGTGTATATATATGCATATATAAATATATTAGTATAGCACATGTATGTATGATCTACAAAGGATTTGAAAGAAGGCCTAAACATATGGAGAAAGACATTCATACACAAAAAACTTTTGATACTACAAAAATGATAATTTCCTCCAAATTAAATATTAAATTCTATGCAATTCAATCAAAATTCCCAGAAGGTTTCGTGGAATCTGAAAAGCTAATCCAAAAACATATACAAAAGAGACTAGTCAAATCAATTTTAAAGAATATGAGAGGGGGGCTTTACCCTATCAAAAAATACATAAAGAAAAAGGATAATAAACATAGGTATACATACAAACCTACATATGGCGACATAGAGAGGGAGCTGGGGAGCAAAAAAAAAAAAAAAAAAAAAAAAAAAAAGAGCAGGCAGGGGCTCAAAGTCAAAGGTTTGATGCGTAGAGTTTTATTTCCTAAAACTTAAAAGTGTCTGAGATAAATGTGGCAAAACGTTTAAAAATAAGGTGAACACATGGGTGTTTATTATACTATCTTGTCTACTAGAGTATTTTTTAATATAACAAAATTTTGAGGCCAAGATACAAGTTATTCACATAAAGATAAGTTGTTATTATCAAAAATTCCTTATGGAGGCAGCATTGTATTTTTTTAAAAGCTTGACTAAAAATACTACGAAATGTGCCAGATGCTCTATTATAAAAAACAAGTATTGGTTAATCTTGTCAGTATTAAGATTCCAAAAATACAAATGAAACATCAACCAAAAAAATTATAAAAATATAGTTTAAAAAATGATGATAGATGTCTATTTAAATACAGAAACACTAAAAAAAAAAAAAAAAAAAAAAAGCAAAGTAAATATGGCTAGTAAGAAAAGACTATCCCTTTAGAAATAATCAACCGATTCCTCATAAACTGTCAAGAATTTCTCTTCAGGTTTATTATTTTTAATTCCCTGAATATGTCTCAAAATAGCCAATCAAATCACAGTTGTTGAACTACTGAAGGCCAAAACATAATTATGACCATGTATATTTTATAATTAACAATTGTCTCTGGTTAAGAGTAGGGACTTAGAAAGTAAAGCTTTAGTTTCTAGACAAAATATTTGAAATCTCAGTTAACGTGACTGGATCTGTGTAAAATGTTTAAGGGAATGACATAACAAAAAGCGAGATTCAGAAAATAGTTAAGGGCAATTCAGGCTCTAAAATGTATTGCTTGTAGATGTTGACTGTATTATATCCTATAATTGCATTATACTGTCCTCTTTATTAAAATAAAAACACATTTTTTCCTGCTCCTATACAACAAAAGTCTTTCGCACTGGTTCCAGGTATTTTTATATAAAAATGTAATTTTAAACAGTTGTCTTGAAAGTACCAAGAAGAATTCATTTATATCAATGTCAAGTGAGTGAAGAGTTCCTAAATCAAGAAGAAATGTTACAGAGGTTGTCAGAAAACAAATAAATGTGATGTCAATGTGTATTAAATAAAAATCTAAAGTTATATTATGTACACAGAGAAAAATCATTTTCATTTTTATACTGCATTGCAGACAAGTAATATAATGCCATGATATCTTTACAGAAAACACAGTGCCATATATTTTCTTAATTATCTGTACTCATATCACCCTCTAGTGGGCAAAATAAAGCAGACCATAAAAAAGGAAAAAAGAATCTGGAAAAAAAATCCACAGCATTCACAGATTCATTCATTCAGCAGCAGCTCTTACTTACTTCATCCTCACTACGGGGAAAGCACTGTGATAGGTGCTGCTCAGGACTAAGACAAGAAAAGCAGGAAAAGCAGAAACAGAAAGACCTATGTTGGAAGACCTATGTCTGGAAGCAGTATAGGGAAAGAGAAGAGAATTAAATGGCAAAGGAAGGTATGTAGAGTGTGGAACTAAGGTGAATCTAAAATGTAAATTCATTTTGTTTATGAAAGAACTATATGAAAAAACCTCCAGAACTGAACTTATCATTATATTTAATTTTGAAATAAACTAATCAATGTAGATAATATCTTTCAGGGAAATAACGTCAAAAATATATCCTCAACAGTCAGTGTTTTCTGATATGTCACAGAGGTATATGCATGCATATATACACACTTACAGATGATAAAATACAGTCACTATTTTCCTGGATCCTAGATTTAATCTAATTTATTGATTTGAGTTGGGTAAACTTGTTTTGTTGTTGTTGTTGTTGTTTATTTTTTCCGTAACCTAGAACAGTGTTGATGGTGAACTTATTTGTAATACAATGTAGAATGGATATATTTGCTACTCCATGGCCACTCATTTATAAAGGAAATTGGGCACTGAAATTCAGATCTTCACTCTTCTTTTAACTTCCTATTAGTAGACTAGAAGATATTTGTGATGTAGATCCCTTCCATTTAATGCTTTAAAGGATTAGCTCTGCAAAGAGACATTGTGGATTCAAACACTGGCTTCATCCAGATAGGGACAGGAGGCAGGGAAATTTTAGGTAGAAGAGGGCAGATCCCCAGCAAGGACCCTGCTCTCAAGCTGAAAAGCCTGATACCATGGCCCAAAGTGAGAACTTACATCCCTATTTTCCTGCTCAAATGTTGTCTTTTCCAAAACTACCCAGGGCCCACCCCACCTGCCATCCTGTGCCCATGAAAACCCCAGGCTCAGCCAGCAGAGGGAAGAGAGGCAGCTGGCCATCAGAGACTATGGCTGGATGTCAGAGAGAAGCAGCCTGACTTCAGAGGGACAGCCTGATGGTGTAACCTGGGAGAAGAATCTGGCCCTAGAGGGCTAGACTTCAGGGTAAGACTACCTTCCTGCTCCATCCCCTTTTCACCTCCCCTTTCCACTGAGCCACTTTCATCAGTAATAAAATCCCCTGCATTTACCATCTTCAATTTATTCTTGAGACCTCATTCCTCCCGGGTGCTAGACAAGAGCTCAGGTGCCGCAAGTGTGGTGCGAAAGGCAGTCACAGTTACCCTCCACTGAGTCATTAACACGTAAGCTGTCCATGGACAGCAGAGCTAAAACAGTACTGTAACACTTCCTCTGCGGCTTCAGGGGTCACCAGCACCCTCTCAGATGCTGCTGTAGGGCCAGTACAGAGTTTGCTTCTGCCCGTGCCCAAAAGCCCTTGCCCTGGCTCCTGCACCTGCTCACCTGCATGCTCCCATTCCTGTGGTCTCAGTCAGTGGAGCTCTCCCCTGCCAGCACTGAAGTGGCTGGCTAGTTCCAACACCCATGCACTCCAGTTCCCGCCCATGAAGGGGTAAGGGAAATACCCTGCTTCAATCCAACTAGCTGTGGAATCTTGAACCACTGATTCAACCTTTGAGTGCCTCATTTCACATTTGTAGAATGAGATGACTATCATCACCTATCTTATCAGAGAGTACCAAATGCATATGAAATGCCTAGCAAAGGTTACTCTTATTACTGTATTGTTATTTATCATACCATTCTTTACTACAAAAAGTACTTTCAAATAAAAGATATAATAGAGAAAAAAAATTTCCTACAATTTTTAATAGTTAAGTACTGCCATATCTAAACTGTGTACCTTAATGTATTTCAAAAGAAAGCATGCAAATTCTATACATTACACACTATACACACATACCCAATTTGTAATATACATTAGAGGTAATTGAACAATTTGTTAAACTAATGAAAAAAAAGTTATCAGCTACATTCTATCAAACCAGTTTATCAAGCTTAGTCTTTAAGTTAGCAATATTTTATATAGCATTTGTCATTCTGAAGCAGTATTATCTCACACGACAAAATTTTTCTGTACTATTTTCACAGTAAAATTATGTATACCTTTAAGATATTTAAGAAAGATCATTTTAAAAATTCCTCTAACGCATTAAATTTATCTTTTAATAATTTATTGTAACATACATTTTACAACTTAAAAATCAAAGAAATAAATATAATTTCTAGACTGTACCACCTATACATGTAACCATATATAAAAAATTTACATAAGCAAAAATCACTATAATTTATAAAAACATAAAATATTTTCCTACTCAACATCACCTTCAGAGATCTTGCCACATGAACATGGTTATCGTAGACTAAAATGTCTATTGTCAGATTTTGTAGCCGATGGATGTGACTTAAATCACCTTCAAGAACAAGGTCTTGTATTAAGACTCTCCAAGATGGAAATGGTGTCCTGGTGCCATCCCATACCTGCCATAAGAGAGTAGAGTAGTTTTATGATCCTTTAGAAAAAATGCTTGTGCTAAAAAGTTTTTTCCTGATAATAGTACTTAAAAGTAATTAAACGTATGCCTCTGAATATTGGCACTATTTTAAATATGACATTATTTTCTGATTGTAAAAGAACTACATATGAACTATGGGTAATGTGGAAAATGTAGAAGAATGTAAAGAAGAAAAAGAGTCACACTGCCATAAGCCCAGACTAAATATTCCTGAGTCAAGTGTTTTTATACAATAAAAACAAACCAAAATGGTCTTGAAAAACACTCATATGTATTAAAACATTTTTGCAAATACAACTAGTAAAATTACGAATGTTCTAAAAATTATAAAAATAATACATTTCTTTGACATTAATCAAATTATTTCTATGAGATTCAGTCTCATTCTTAAATTAGTTGTAAAGCATTATTCTGATGTTTCCATACAAAGAAGTAAATGTTGTAAATTTGAATAATTTCCTTTATATGATGATTTTCTGGTTCACATTATGCTTTTTGTTCTCCAAACCATATTACAGATGAGACATACAAACTACCTACCAGCTCTGGCTATAAATGACGCCTGGTTATTTATTTAAAAAAAAAAAAAAAAAAAACATAAAACAAAACACAAAAGATAAGGCTGCACCAATATTGTAGATATTAAAACAAATAGAATATATACACTTAGAGAAAATTCAATTTGAGAATACTGCTCAGAAAAATAATTTATATAATATTAACAGAATAGAGAAAAATGTGGAATGATGCCCGATCAACAAATTTATTGAATTATATTTAATGCAAATGATTGGTGTACCATGGCTACTGAAAAATTAAAATGAATGCACTGTGGTTAGTAAAAAAGCTACCAACATTAATATTGTGCCCAGGTTGAGATGGAAAATGATTATACTATTTCGTATGTAACCAGACGTTATTTCGAGTAATGTCTAGCTCCTCTGTTTTTAAAAAATAAAATTTAAAAATTATTTCTGACACGTAAGAAAATCAATGTATGGAAAAAAAATCACTCATAATTCTATTTCCCAGAGACGAAAACAGTAAAATGTTGCTTTATAGGCCTCCCAATATATTTTTCTATGTACATATACATTTTTAGTGTGTAAATGAAACTACAGTATCACTAAATAGACTATCATGAAATTCTATCTCAACAAGTACATGTCTATAATATCATTTTATGGTTACAAAGTATTTTATGATGACATTTACAATGTTATTTTACGGTCATCCTACATAAATAGTGTACACAATTTTCTATTGTTAGTATTGGGGCTTTTTCTAATTTTTCTACTGTATTCTCATTTTTTATACTGTAAGAAAGATAAATATATCCTTTTAAGTGTACCTTTACAAATATTTTAAATTATTTCCTTAAGATAATGAAAATAAAATTGCTGAGTTGAAAGGTACAAAAAGACTTTTGAGGTTTACTTTTAAATTGTCATAAGAAAGGCTTTTACTAATTCTTTTCTTTTTTTAAATTATACTTTAAGTTTTGGGATACATGTGCAGAATGTGCAGGTTTGTTACATAGGTATACACGTGCCATAAGGGCTTGCTGCACCCATCAACCCATCATCTACATTAGGTATTTCTCCTAATGCTATCTCTTCCCTAGCCCCCTAACCCCCAACAGGCCCTGGTGTGTGATGTTCCCCTCCCTGTCTCCATGTGTTCTCATTGTTCAACTCCCAGTTATGAGTGAGAACATGCGGTGTTTGGTTTTCCATTTTTGTGTTAGTTGGCTGAGAATGATGGTTTCTAGCTTCATCCATGTCCCTGCAAAGGATGCGAACTGATCCTTTTTTTGGCTGCATAGTATTTCATGGTGTATATGTGACACATTTTCTTAATCCAGTCTATCATTCATGGGCATTTGGGTTGGTTCCAAGTCTTTGCTATTGTGAATAGTGCTGCAATAAACATACAATGTGCATGTGTCTTTATAGCAGAATGATTTATAATCATTTGGGTATATACCCAGTAATGGGATTGCACTGTCAAATGGTATTTCTGGTTCTAGATCCTTGAGGAACTGCCACACTATCTTCCACAATGGTTGAACTAATTTACACTCCCACCAACAGTGTAAAAGTGTTCCCATTTCTCCACATCCTCTCCAGCCCCTGTTGTTTCCTGACTTTTTAATGATTGCCATTCTAACTGGTGTGAGGTGGTATCTCATTGTGATTCTGATTTGCATTTCTGTAATGACCAGTGATTATGAACTTTTTTCCTATGTCTGTTAGCCGCACAAAGGTCTTCTTTTGAGGAGTATCTGTTCGTATTCTTCGCCCACATTTTAATGGAGTTGTTTTTTTCTTGTAAATTAGTTTAAGTTCCTTGTAGATTCTGGATATTAGCCCTTTGAAAGATGGACAGATTGCAAAAATGTTCTCCCATTCTGTAGGTTGCCTGTTCACTGTGATGATAGTTTCTTTTGCTGTGCAGAAGCTCTTTAACTTAACTAGATCCATTTGTCAATTTTGGCTTTTGTTGTCATTGCTTCTGGTGTTTTAGTCATGAAGTCTTTGCCCATGCCTATGTCCTGAATGTATTGCCTAGGTTTTCTTCTAGGGTTTTTATGGTTTTAGGGCTTATGTTTAAGTCTTTAACCCATCGTGAGTTAATTTTTGTATAAGGTGTAAGGAAGGGGTCCAGTTTCAGTTTTCTGCATATGGCTAACCAGTTTTCCCAACACCACTTTATTAAATAGGGAATCCTTTCCCCATTGCTTGTTTTTGTCAGGTTTGTCAAAGATCAGATGATTGCAGATGTGTGGCGTTATTTCTGAGGCCTCTGTTGTGTTCCATTGGTCTATATATCTGTTTTGGTAGTAGTACAATGCTTTTTTGGTTACTGTAGCCTTGTAGTATAGGTTGAAGCCAGGCAGCGTGATGCCTCTAGCTTTATTCTTTTTGCTTAGGATTGTCTTGGGTATATGGGCTCTTGGGCTCTTTATTGACTTTTCAGTGTTATATTTTAAACTAACACTTACATGACAGTTGTTTTCACTTGTCCAAAAAAGTTATCTATTACAATGGGATGCAGGTATATGTTTTGTTTCTGTAGAGAGAAAATGTAGACTCAACTATTTCAGCTAAAATTTGGCACATTTTATCTTAGAATTTAAGAATTTTCTAAAAACATAGTCAAAAGATAGAATATTCCTCACTGCATAGTAGTAGAGTCCTTGTCATAGTAAGTGTTCAGTTGTTAGCAAATGCTCATTTGTTAAGAACGTCACATTTGCCAGAGAGTATGACTGGCTGACCTAAGATTCATTCTAACTTTGTTTGATTTTATATTACTTTTGTTTCAGCTTTATCATATTTGACTTATTTAACTTTCTCTATGGCATATATTTACAACTTTCTCATAGTATTCCATGTGTATATGAATGTGCTATTTTCAACTGCTAGAACTTTATATTTTTTTCAATGATTGCTAACTTCTCTGTTCTTTAATATGGGCAAGGTATAAATGATAATGCTAAACCCCAAGACTTGTCCAAGTGCCACTGCACTCCATTTCCTGCCCTATTATTCCAAAGAGAGTATCGAGAAATAACCATAGGAGCAGGCCTGAAGAGGCATTTGTTTAAATGTATCCTCCACAGGATGTCCAGGCAAGAAAAACAGACATTCACCTTCTCCAGAAGTTATTCTCTAAACTGGGATAGGTGTAAACAGAGATCTGATGGGTCTTAAGTTACTTTTTTATCTTGCTGATTTAAAAGCAAAACACAGTAATATAAAATGCTTCAAAACTATCCACGGTATGACTATGAAGTAGGCAGTGAAAGATATAAGAAGAGAACCCAACATCAAGGGGACAAAAAAGTAAATAAATGAGAGGGAAGGTGACCTTGACAGGGAAACAGAAATATTCATGTATGGGACTATAAACTATGAAATAATAGAAAACAAGTCTACATATTATTACTACTAAAATAAAAAAATGCATAAGTCATACTATATTTAACATGTAGATCTGATAACACTAGAAGGAAAGTGTAAAACAGGAAGGAAAGAAAAATTTTAGAGAGGTGCAAGAGTAGAGCTGCATGAATATCAAAGCTCATCAAAAATAGTTAAAATCTAAGTTCCTAATATAATATACTGTATGCATATTTGTCTCATCAGAAAGCTGAAACATAAGCTCTTTACAGACATATAAGTGTTGCTAACTTATAATTTCCAGTATTAAAAAATATGTACCTTTAGAAGAAATGATGCTCCATCCACTTCTGCTTTGCCCAAGAGCTGACAAGTCAGGTCAAAATACTGCATTGGCTGCACATCACACAATTTTAGTAATGTCCAAGACGGTGACATATGAGTAGATGCCCAAACACGTAAAGTTTCTACCATTTTGTGGTCCTCAGTAGTGAAGTTAAAATACTTGCTTGAAGTGCGAGGTATGATAGGGGCTCCCAAAGTTCCCTCAAACGTCAAAGATGCAAAGCCAGAGCTGGTGATACCCTGAGTCTCCTTTTTATATACTTGAATCTAAGAAAGTAGGGCAAAGTAGAAAAGAGATACAAATAAAATAGCTTACTGATGCAGAATCTATGAACTGAAGAAATTGGAAAGATTATCAATTTTGCCAGCATAATTAAGAGAGGGCATTTTTTAAAAACTATTTTTATTTAATTAGCATATGAAATTCTACTCTCACGTGATGGTGCTACACTAAGATACATAAGTATCATGGACACTGTGAACCTCCATGCAAAATTCACTTACATTTTTGAAAGAGCTAGGTGGTGGTCTCCCTAATCCTATCAAGCTTGCAGTTTTACATTTTATTAGTTTTTTTATTAAGGTATAATTTATACAAGGAAAAACAATCATAAATGACAGTGACTTATGAGTATTACAGAAAAGACTAGAACACTTGAAATATGAGAATATAAAGTGAATAAAATGAAGCTCAGGCTAGGGTTGAATCAGAGTGACTGAGAGCACTGAGATATGCCATAAGCTCTTTTGCTTTCTGAATTTGGGGGCTGTTATCGGAGGCACACACATTTATATTGCTATATCTTCATGAAGAGACCCCTTTGTCTTTATGAAAAGCTCCTTCCAAAACTCTCTCATAGTAATATAGTTATTTCATTTCCCTTATGTTTACTTAGTACTTTTTTTTTTACAGCTTTAGTTCTAACTTGTTTAGGTCTTCATATTTAAAGTGCACTTCTTGTAGGTAGCATATATTTGGTTCCTGATTTTTTTTGTTCAGTCAATCTTTCCCTTGCAAATGGAAATTAGTCCATTCACAGAAAGGCAGTTATTAACATGGCCATATTTGAGTCTACTATCTTGTTTTCCTTTTTTTCCACGCTTCTTGCTTTTTAGCTTCTTTGTTTTTTTAAACTTTTTTTTTTTCTATTGTTCCTTTCTTGTTTTCCTTTTGGAATTCTTATTAGTGCTCCACTTCCTTCTTCTTGGCTATAAATAAATCTTTAACTTTTCAATGTCTACTTGGAAATCAATATTGTTCTACTATGTACTTTCTACTTTCCATTTCATACTTGCTACTTCCTATTTCATGCATTCTACTTCACAAATATAACTTTTCACTGGTAGAATTCCATTCACTCATCCCACCCATCCTTTGTGTTACTGTTGTAGTATTTTTTCTACATATTTTATAAACTCCACCATGTAATATTACCAGTTTTGCTTTAAATAGGCATTTATCTTGTAATTAAATTCTGGAAAGAAAAACATTCTGTTTACATATTTACTATTTTTTTCCATCATTTCTTGTATTTTTGTCACTTCTTAACTATCCAGCTTCTAGTTGCTAGCATTCCTCTTTGGCCTGAATATCATTCTTTTGCATTAATGCTATGCAGATATGCTGGCCATGGACTATCTCATTTTTCCTTTATATAAAATGTTTATTTCACTCTTATTCCTGAAGAATGTATTTGCTGGATATAAAATTCTGTGTGAACAAATTTTTTTCTATCACCATGTACAAATTATTTCTTTGTTCTCTGGGTGTCATTGTCTCTGGTAAAAAGTGAAAGATGACTGGTATCATTGTTCTCCAACAATATCATTTATTCTCCAGTTGATTTCAAGATTTTTCTCTTTTTCAATGGTATCACTATCTTTTGTTTGGATATGCTTTTCTTTGTGCATACCCTGCATAAAGTACATTTAAGTCTTTGTTTTTCCTCAAATTTGGGGAAATTCTGGTCCTTATTTCTATAAATATTTTATTTCCCTTCACCCGCTCTCCTCTTGCATCCTAAATTACATGTAACATTTGATATTGTTCCATAGGTCCTTACAGTCTATTAATTTTTATTTAATCCTTGTTCTTCAGATTAGGTAGTTTCTAATGATTTGTCATCAATTTAACTTATATCTGATCTTAGCCCATCCAGTAGATTTTTCTTTTCATTTGTTCTTTTCAGTTCCTGAATTTCTATTTTTTTAAGTTTTCACTTCTCTGCTGAAATTTATCTTTTCACATTCATTTAACATCTTCCTCTAATTCACTGAATGTATTTTTGCTTAATTTCTTTTTAAAAATTATTTTATTTATTTATTTTTGAGAAGGGTCTCGTTCTGTCACTCAGGTTGGAATGCAGTGGTGTAATATTTCACTGCAGCCACGACCTCCCGGGCTCAAGGGATCTTCCCACCTCCACTTAATTCTTTGAAAGTCTGTATAATCTGTGCTTTAAAGTTTTTGTTTAATAAAGACAACATTTGGGCTACCATGGAGTTGATTTGGAATGTCTATGCTTTCTTTTTTCTTGACTAGGGGAAACACTTTCTTGTTTTCATGTCTAGTATATCTTTTTTCTTTACTAGACATCATAGATGCTATACTGTAAAGACTCTGAATTATGTTGGCTTCTTCTGACAAACACTGATTTTTGTTCTTGCTGGCCACTGAGTTGTTGTCTGGTCATCTTAAACTCATGAATGCTTGTTTTTATGCTTTGTTAGGGTGATCTGTGGAAAGCCCATGATGTTTCCCAAAGTCTTCTACATTGATGGGACTCATCCTGCAAACTCTCTGCGAAGTCTTCTCCGTAGAACTCGTTTTAGGCTTTGACAAAACATGTGTATAACAGGCCTTACTATAAGATGTGATCCTTTGTGAGGTGAGCTACTTTAGGGGGGGTGAAACCTTTATATTGCCTCAGCTGAATTTCCAAGGTGTTAAATAGTTATTAGTAACTTAATTTCCAAGGTGTTAAATAGTTATTATTTGTCCCTATCTTGGACTTCCAGCACCCCATTACTAGACCTCTAGTATCTGCTTCATGTTCAACCACAATGTTCAACCACAGTTCAAACACACAGCAGCTTTTGTAATCCTTAAGTAGTTCTACCCCACCCTGTGCAGCCTGGTTTTCAACCAAGTATTCAAGTCCACCCCAACCCTGATGGACTTTTAGACATCCCCTTCTGTATAGCTCTTTCCTCTCTGGTTTCTTGTTGTGAAAATTCCAGTTTTCAGCTGCCTTGAACTTTGACTTCAGCTATATCAGGACCACAGCTTGAACTTCAGCTTACTGTGCAGTGGTTGAGAAAATGTCTGTAGGCAGGGATGTGGTCATCATGGGGCTCACTTTAAAAGTTTCTCTTCACTCTCTGATCATAGCTACCCATTGTCCAATGCCTAAAAAACAGTTGCCTCATACGTTTTATGGGTCTTCGTTGCAGCAGGGTTAGTCCAGTACCAGTTAATTTCTCACAATGCGGAAATTCACTCTGCAGATTCTAACTATACTTGCCTACAACTGATCTATTACCTAACTTTACACTTTTAAATGGATTCTACTTGATGTATATGCTGCTTCTCTTTAATACTCCAATGTCTGATTGATGCTTGGTTCTGTGATCATCATTGTTATTACCAATTCCATGCTCACTAGTGTATACTGTTTACCAAAGCTTGCCTCTGCTGATTATCATAGTAAAACAGAACCAACTTCTAGCTTAGGTGTGTTGGTAGCTTTCACATATCATTTATGAGCAGATCCTCTTTGCTTGAGATTCAAAATATACCTTAATTAGTCTACTTCTATTTCCACCACCACTGTAGTCTAAGGCATCCTCATTTCATGTCTGTAAACTGAAATAGTCTTCTAAAGAATATCTTTGCCTTCATGCTTGTTCTTCAACAACCCATCTGTTATCCACGTGTTACTGAGTGATTTTTTTTCAAACTTTTAACCAATCATTTCATGTGCACATTTAAAACCCTCTAATGACTTCTCATTATACCTAGAGTAAAATCTAAATAACTTACCTACCACAATTTCATCTCGTAACACCTCCCCCATAGCTGACTAGGATCCATGCTAGTCTTCTTTCTGTTTCTCCAATACCACACTCATTCCTATTATAGGGCCTTGGCACCTATAGTGTCATCTGGTGGAAAACGTTTTCCCTCTAATCTCAGTAGGACTTCTCATTATCATCATTTGGGTCTCAATTCTTATGTCTCCTCATTAGAAAGGCCTTTCGTGATTTTGCCTTATTTTATTTATTTATTTATTATTTTTGAGATGGAGTCTCGCTCTGTCGGCCAGGCTGGAGTGTAGTGGTGCGATCTCAGCTCACTGCAACCTCCACCTCCCGGGTTCAAGCAATTCTCCTACCTCAGCCTCCCGAGTAGCTGTGACTACAAGCACCCACCACCACACCCGGCTAATATTTGTATTTTTAGTAGAGATATCGTTTCACCATACTGGCCAGGCTGGTCTCGAACTCCTGATCTTGCAATCCTCCTGCCTAGACCTCCCAAAGTGCTGGGATTACAGGTGTGAGCCACTGTGCCCGGTTGCTTTATTTTCTTTATAGCAACTATCACTACTTGAAATTACTTTGATTTATATGCTTTACTTTTATATTGTCTGCTTCTTTGCATTAAAACAGAAGCCTATACAAAAAAAAAAAGAACCAATTTTTGCTGGAAAAAAGAAGAGTAGATCTTGACTCTTGTTTTATGTATATTTTTGCTATGAACTATCATCTTCAAATTGCAATAAGAAAAACAAGAAAAAATAAATTCTGGCTGTTTTATGTATATTTTCGCTATGAATTATGATCCTCAAAACCGCAATAAGAAAAACAAGAAAAAATAAATTCTGATATCTAAAACAGATGTCTGTACTTAGAATGACCTTGCTCAACTAAAGAAAACAGGGCTATTCAAACAAAGCTAGCGAACTATCAACATAAAGAGTGTAAGGAAGTGCTAGTAGCCCTAAATATGAACATTTCATGAAAACAGAGAAACAACTTTATAGAAAAATATAGTAACCCTAAATCTATACAGCAGCCTCAAAATATATAAAACATAAAATTAAATAAGAAGGCTTAAACCCCATTAACATTGCTTTAAATTATTAAGCAAAATCGATAGAACTAAAAGAAACAGGCAAATCCTCTATCACAGTAGTCTTTAAAACACAGTTTTCAATAGCTGATAAAATAAGTAGATAAGAAATAAAAAATGATATTGACCATATGGTAGAACATAAAGTAAGCATTCACAAATTTCAAAATACTAAACATTTCAGAGTATGTTTCCTGACCACAATAAACAATAGTAAAAGAAGGTAACTATTAAATGATTTAAATAAATATAAAAAACAAACAATAATCCTATGGAATTGGATTGAATATAACTCTATATATATATTATTTGGATTATTTGAATATAATTCAAATATAAATTCAATATATAAATATATGTTCAATATAATTCAATATATTCAATAATAATTCAATATATACTCGATGAGTCAATATTTGAATTTTCATATTGATTTCCTCTCTGACTTATGGATTATTTACAAATTATTTATAAACCCATAGATCAGAGATGAAATCAATGATCAATATAAAAATTCAATTATATATTCAACTGAATGGTAATGAAGTTATGACAAATTAAAACCTGCTGGATACAACTAAGGCAGTACTTAAAAAATTTAGTCATAAATGAATATATTACAAAAGAGATGGCTAAATTATTATAGTAGTAAAGTTAATTTTCTACAGTGATAATACTGCATCTTTATATTCATTCACATTTCTCTAGACTGTGAATGGAGCCATGTATGGTCTGTAAGTGTTTGTGTATATAAATTGTTGAAAATCTCCAAAAAATTTTCCAAAATACTTGGTGAAAAAAGTCTGCATGTAAGTGTACCCATGTAGTTCAAACCTGTGTTGTTCAAGGGGTAACTATATGCTGTTAGAGGTCATGAGATTCTTTACTCCTGTAGCAGGAGACACAATAATGACCTCTCTGGATGGGGATATGAGGGAAGTTTCTAGAGTGTTAGCTATATGAGTATAGTTATATTGTGAATGATGAAATGTTTATCTATTTGCTATTAAATAGTAACTTCCATAAACAATAACAACAACTAAATATGTTTATGAAGGAAGCATGCATTCTTTGAATACAGTATATAGGAAACAATACTTTGAAAAGTAAGCAATTTTTTGACGTTTAAATAGTATGTATTGCATGGCTATGATAATATTTCTTTTTTTCTTTTTCTTTTTGAGTCGGAGTTTTGCTCTTGTTGCCCAGGCTGGAATGCAATAGCACAATCTTGGCTTGCCACAACCTCCGCCCTCCGGGTTCAAGTGATTCTCCTGCCTCAGCCTCCTGAATAGCTGGGATTACAAGCATGTAGCACCACGCCCGGCTAATTTTGCATTTTTAGTAGACACAAGGTTTCTCTATGTTGGTCAGGCTGGTCTCGAACTCCTGACCTCAGGTGATCCGCCAGTGTCAACCTCCCAAAGTGCTGGGATTACAGGCGTGAGCCACCACGCCCAGCAATGATAATATTTCTATTTCTTTTTATCTTTACACAAATATTCTCCATTATCCTCCTATTCTCAAGGAAACAGCATTAATAGGTCATAAGAAGTGCCTAAGAGTAGAACACAGCTGAACGCTGTCCTCATTTGTGAGCACCAGACTGACCGTGAAGGACAGAATTAAACTGAAGCCTTAGAAGAAAAAGACAACCAAGATGATGAAGAGGTTACATGGAAACCCATGTAACAAAGGAAAACATGAAGAAACTGAAATATTTAAAATCTAAGGGACTGAAAATATACAAAGTATTTAAAAGCTGTCCAAAGCATCATGCAGTAATTTCCAAAGAAAAATTCCAAAAGTTCATTGAACAAAAAAGCTCAATTAAATAAATATTATAGCAATAAGGAAAATAATTTTGAGAAAATAATAATCCTTTGCATTTGTAAGTTCTAAAATTTTTATTTCTTAAAAATTGTGCTATTTAATAACTCTACCCTTATATTAAAGGCTTTCTTACATTTAGTTATTTAACTACAGGCATACTTTTAAAAGTACCTGTTCATATCTTATTTCTTATAAATGAAAACCAACTTAATTTGATTTTATACTTAGTATCTCAATGTTTTCATTGAACATGAATTAATACAAGAAACAGGAAAGAATAATATAATCTCCTAATCTTGTATACATTTTTTCTTGTTGACCTAAAGTTGTTTTTTAAAACATTAAAACACAAGCGTTCTTTATCAAACTCTACAGATAAAACTTCTACAGCATTAGTCTATATTTAGAAACAGAAGACAGAATGGAAGTAGTCTTAATCAGGGCATGTAATACATTTCTGGGGAACGAAGGCAAGTGGTTTGTTCAAATGAAGATGTTTCTTACTGTAAATTATTTGAAGTCTGATAATATTTACACTACTTCTTATCTCGTGAAAAGCTTGCTGTCATGTTCTAACAAAGCAACCACATAATTAGTGCTAACTAGTTTCAGTGAACAATACAGAGTTCTCTTCAAATAAAGTTCTAGACAGTATGAATTATACCTTCAGCCTGTGAAAGCGAACAATATCTCCATTTTTATAAATTATTGGAAGGGCTTCATAGTTTCCACTAAAGAGCAGGCAAGTTAATTTTACATTTGTCTGGTCCACAATTGTTACAACTGAGCAATAATCTGGAAAACACAAAAATATTTTACCTGACTTTCAATATTTTAAAGCATTAGATAAAATAAGAATATGCTTACTTCAAAACACCAAACTTTATTCTTTTTAATTAAGCCTTCTAAGAGTTAAAATACAGACATTTTCTTAGCTTTCAATACACACTGCAAAATTATTTTGCAGAAGTGTTCTATAAATATTACTTTTAGAAAGTTTAGTAAAACAAAAATAAAAATCTAATTCAGTATAAATTGTCTGGAGAGAAAATAACCTTTTTTATTGCTTCAAGGTTTACAAATCATGAAACATAAACGTAGTCAAATAAGAAAAAAGCAATTTATAAAATAAACATAACTAAATTTAGAATGAAAACAAAGGCTAAGCTATTTATAGCAGATATGAAGGTTGTACCCATACTGCATAAAGAACTTATAAAAATCAGGATGATAGAGTATATATGTCATACAAATGAATAAACAATTCATAGAAAACGTCATAACAAAAAATTCAAAAGAGAAAATGGCAATTCTTGCTGGTCACCTATAAAAAAATTATACATTATAACAAAAGAGAGGTATTTTATAAAATTTAAACTGGCAGAAAAATTTAATATTCGGGTTGCTGTAAAATGGTAACTTTAAACATTGGTGGTAGTAAAAATTGTCTGCTGGTGGTAGTAAAAACTGCCTTTTTTTTTTTTAATTAACACATAAAAGATTGTATGTATTTAGGTGTGCTATACATGGTTTTGAAGTACACATACATTGTGAAATCATCAAATCTAGCTAATGAAAATTCACACATTACCTCACATAGTTATTTTTGCAGTGAGAACACTTTACATCCATTTTCTTAGCATTTTTCAAGAATACAACATATTTTTCACTACAGTCACTATTTTATACAATAGAACCCCTGAACTTATTCTTGCTAACCAAAATAGTGTATCCTTTGACCAACATCTCCCCAAAACCTTCCCATAGCCACACAGGGCCCTGGCAACAACCATTCTACTCTCTACTTCTATGAGATTAATTTTTTAAGATTCTGTACCTGGCTTATTTTACTTAAGAATGTCCTCCAGGTTCATCCATGTTGTTGTAAATGACAGAATTTCCTTCTTATGTCTAAATAGTATTCCACTGTGTATATAGACCATATTTTCTTTATTCATCCATTAATGGACGCTTAGGTTTATTCTATGCCTAATGTGAATAAGCCTGCAATAAACATGGGAGTGTGGATGTCTCTTCAACATATTATTTCCTTTTGATATACATAGTAGTGATCCCCATCTGAAGTGTCACCTTCCACAGTTTCAGTTACCTGCAGTCAACCATGAACTACAAATATTTAATGGAAAATTCCAGAAATAAACAACATGAATCATCCCTTCATGCAGGGTATCCACACTGTGCATGCTCCCTGCCTGTTAGTCACTTAGTAGCTGTCTCTGCTATCATATCAACTGTTGAGGTATCACAGTGCTGGTGATCATGCAACCCTTATTTTACTTAATGGCCCCAAAGTGCTAAGACAAAGTGGTAAGTGCTTAGTTAAACTTTATTATAGGTATGTATATTTAGGAAAAAACAGTGTATACAGAGTTCAGTACCATCCATGGTTTTGGGCAGCTGCTAGGGGTCTTGGAGCATATCCCCTTTGGACAAAGGAAAAGTACTGTACCCAGTAGTGAGATTGTGGGATCATATGGCAGTTCTAATTTTTGGAAGAATATTTATATGTTTTCCACAATACCTGTGCTAATTTACATTGTTACCTACAATGCGCAAAGGTTATCTCTTCTTCACACCCTTGCGATACTAGTCTTCTTTTTGATAACAGCTATTGTAAAAGGTGAGAAGTAATATCTTGCTGTGGTTTTATTTTAATGATTAGTGATGTTGAACATCTTTTCGCATACTTGTCTGCCATTTGTATGTTATCTTTAAAGAAATGTCTATTCAGGTCCTTTGCCCATGTTTAAATTGGGTTGTTTTCTAATCATCTAGTTGAGTTCCTCATATACTTTAGATATTAACCCATTATCAGATACACAGTTTGCAAATATTTTCTCCCATTCTTTACTCTGTTAATGCTGGTTGTGCAGAAGGTTTTTAAGCTTGATACAATCCCATTTATCTATTCTTGCTTTCATTGCCTGAGCTTTTGAGGTCCTTTCCAAAGAATTTTTGGTGAGCTCAATCTCATGGAGCTTTTCCCCTATGTTTTCTTCTAGTAGGTTCATAGTACTACATTGAACAGAAGTGGCAAGAGTGGGCATCTTTGTCTTGTTACAGATCTTAGAGGAAAAGATTTCAACTTTTTCTGCATTTATTAAAATGATCACATAATTTTTGTGCTCCATTCTGCTAATAAACACTTTGATTTGCATGTGTGGAACCACCCTTGCATACCTGGAATAAATCCTACTTGATCATGGCAAATAGTCTCTTTAATGTGCTATTGAATTTGGTTTGCTAGTATTCTGTTGAGGATTTTTGCATCTATATTGGCCTGCAGTTTTTTTTGCTGTTAGTTTTTACTGTCTTTGTGTCTTCAGTATCAGAGTAACGCTGGCCTCGTGAAATGAGTTTGGAAAATATTTCCTTCTCTTCCATTTTGGGAAGAGGCTGAGAAGAATTAGTGTTAGTTCTCCATGGAATGTTTGATAGAATTTGATGCTACCTATACACATGATTCAGAAAAATGCATTGACTTTCTGTCCTTCCTAGTCCCCTAGTAATGAAGGTATAGAGATCGAAAGGAACAAACCACAAAACAGTGAAGGAAAGGAGAGTGGGAAAAAACAACGTATTTCAGGAAAATGGAAAGTAAGTGGTTAAGAGATAAAATAAACAGAAGAGGCCAAAATCCAGAAGATACTACAAGGTGGCTACAGTAAAGATGGGAGCCACTGGGATTAAGCGTGAGAGTAAAAAGTAGGGATGAAATCAGGGGATCAATTAGAAGTTTACACACAGAACAAGTGTTTCAATTCCATGACTAACCATCCTTATTCTCCACTTCCCTGAAAATGACTTCAGGCAGCATCTTTGTATTTAACAACCTTTCCATTTTGAAAACTTCTAGGAACACAGGTTCTTTTCCAAGGAAGCTGAACTCATTAACTGGGAAGTGGTAAGACTTCTCACGTTGGTGTTAACAATCAGAATAAATTCCTCCTCACCATCACATTAGGGAACCTACAGCTTGGTTGGCAGTTCTCATCCCACCCACCCTAGGCTGAAAATTTCAATCAACATGCCCTAACAAGTACTATTAGTCACTATCAAGTTTCCCACTCAAGGAGAGGGAGTATTACAGAAATGAACTACTTACAAACAAAGCAAATGAGAAAGGTATATGAAACCTAAAATAAACTATATCTACATTCTTAAATACAAAAATACAGCAGAAAATTACCAGGCATTAGAATAAAAATGGAAGACGCTGTAATCCTAGCACTTTGGGAGGCCAAGGTGGGTGGATCATTTGAGGTCAGGAGTTCAAGACCAGCTTGGCCAACATGGTGAAACCCCACCTCTACTAAAAATTACAAAAGTTAGCTGGGTGGTAGTGGTGCTCTCCTGGGAAGTGGAGGTTGCAGTGAGTCGAGATCATGCCACTGCACTCCAGCCTAGATGACAGAGTGAGATCTGTCTCACAAAAAAAAAAGGGAGACAGAAAGAAAATGGGGTTAAGAAGAAAAACGAGAGAAGGGAGTGAGGGGGAGGGAAAAAAAGGAGAGAGAGAGCAAAGGGGAGAAAGAAGGGAGGAAAGAGAGAGAGGAATGGGAAGGGAAAGGGAGACGAGAAAGGAGGGTAGAAAAAGAGAAATCTGAATTTGTGAGAAGGGTGAAATAACCTGGAACAACAACAACAAAAAAACTCTAAAAATGAAAAAACTTTAATAAGCATTTTCAGAAAGAGTAAAAATATATTATATTCTCATCCCATGAGGACCCACTGGCTCCAATTTTAGGTTTTAAGTTTCCTTTGTCACTATTTCTTACTATCAGTAAGGAGCGACACTTCGTGCCATTTTTTCTTTGTTAGCAGTCTTCCAATGACCAAAGACAAATTTTATTTATTTTTCGAAACAGAACACATTCTTACTTGCAATTACCATATGACTCTATCGTACCGTTTTATACATCTGAGATACATTATGGAATCTTTTTTCCTATATCTTGAAATATATTGATATTCATTATCTGAGTAATTATTTCATCACTATGCATCAATTATTTCTATGCACGCTTAAAAAGACTAATTTTTAAAATGTGAAATGAGGCAATTGTCTAAAGGATGATACAAGAATCAAATAATCACTATTGTATCATTCTTCAGTTTTCATACTCAAGATATAAAAGAAGTTTGGAGACACCATCTTTTGAGTTTCTTCTTTAGCTTTATTTAAACATAGTTAAAAATTCAAAATTTTAAAATTTGTGCCCACGGTCAGTGAGAAGAACATTGATGGAGGAAGTCATTTAACCATTATTAGATGAATCAGAAGCTAAATGCAAAAACAGCAGCGCATTAGCCAATGATGATAAAATTGATCACATAAGTAAAATCTCAGGCTATTTATCTCCAGATGATATCCTATATAAAGTTTCTCAAGCTCAAGAATTGATGCATGAAAATACGTTTCTAAAAATAGGGAGAAAACACAAAATATTTCTAAAAACGGAGAGAAATATGGTATTCTTATCCAGTAAGTCATTCAACAAAAATGATTTCACCATACGATATTCTGGGACATGACTAAGGACCATTCCACTTTGCTAAAATGACTTGTGATGGCATTCTTTCATCTTAAATGATATTTGCATACCAAAATTCACATAAAATGGCATGTAAATGGATATGCAGAAGGCAAGTGTATACATAAAGGTAGTGGAAAGAATAGGTGAGCTCAAAATGAAAGATCCATCTTTAATCATTTGAATTGATGTTTACAAATCTAAAATAGAAACTGTTTTGTAATTATGGAGCAAAAACAG